TTAATATCCTACGAAAAACTCGTGATTGTTAGGCTATGTCTATTATTTTCACTTGAAAGAAATTGAACTCTTACTTTACACGATTCATTGACGACAATTAGAAAATAATTGATCAGGATTTTATTTCAGTAACGGTGCCATACGTTCAATTTCACTTTCATTATTTATTTTGTCGTCGCAGCTTTGATCCGATTTTGTATTGAATGGAAATTTCTACTGCCTTGGATCCGTGTAAAATGCATTGGATAGAAACGATAAGAGTTGTTTGTCTCTCGTTTTCTGTCACTTCTTCAAGTTAAGCGACCCATTTTCTACATTAAATTGCTTAAAAATAATTGGCAGTATTGTTAAAACTTATTTTTTCATAGTTGCCTGGTGCAAATTTTTAAACAATTTTTCAATCGAACGTCAAAAAATGTTTCGTCAGTTTTTATTTCCCATGTTTACGGGCGGGGAAGTATTGTACTCGCGAACATTTTATAAACTGAAATAGTAGTTTTTTTAATGTTATATAACCTGCATATCACGATTTCCGTCGGCTGTCTGTCTGTCGGTCTCTCGTCTGTGCGCTGATCTTATAGCCGTCTATAACTTGAGAAGTACCGCTCGGCTTTCGATGAAATTTTTACACAATGTTACTACTATGCCAAGGACGCAAAAACGAAAAAGGATGAAAATTTCTAACTCATCTCATTTTGTCAATGCCTACAGGAGTGTATTCAGCTGTGGGGTCGCCCAACACAGTATTAATTTTTTGTTTTATTAATTGTCAATAAAATTTCGTTAGAATGTTATCGTTTCATTCTTGATGTAAGACTACCTCATTGTCAAAAAATCAAGTTGAGGAAATTATTTTTTCTGAGTGTAACGCTTCTGTCACTGAGTACATTTTTATTTGGATGTAACGCATTACCCTTTCTTGAATTCAATAAGTCATTGTTTGTCATTGGTCAATATTTATCAGAACTAGGTAGGTAATTTAACAATTTGTAAAGAAATACGAAGTTTTTCTATGGCATACGCTGACACTGACTGATGCTAAATGTTCTTACTGGTATCCATGATCATTATTTTTTGCCGTGCATTGCATCATTATCAGTATTAAGTTAGTCAAATTTTATTGTAAACTCAAATAGCTTAACAACGTTTGAAGGCAGATATAAGCCTTTTTATACAAAATTTATGAAGAACTTCATGGAGAATCTATAAATTAAAAAAGGGGGGTTGCCTGTGAAAATCCATAGTGTAACGGCTATAGATGAAAAGACGAAATCAAAATTGATGTATCCCAGGTTTTTTTTAGTATTTTACAACTTTGTAGTTATTTTGGAGGATTGATGGATATCTACCAAATTGGAATTAGGAAAGTATGCTCACGTTTTGACTTCTTTGCATTCTCTTATTCTGTATGCCAGAGGTTAAGCGTAATAATAGGTGTAGCGTAGCTAAACTTCGCCACAGTGAATAGCACTTTTGTAATTTCATTAATAAAGAAGATATTATTATAAATGCGAGATATTCGCTGTTACAGTACGGCAACGTCTGTCTTTCCGTACGTTGTTTTTTTCGTCAATGTTGTGACCCCAACCTGCTCTTTCTTCTACTTTCTTCAACCTCTCTGGATACCCCCCCCCTGCTACGACGTCTCTGATTCTCATCCGGTTCGAAGTCGCGGATCGCGGTTCGTTGGCGGTCGTTCGCCATGCGTGGAGCCGGATGCGGCGTTGCCACGCTCAACGGTTTTTTCTTGGATCATATGAAGACTACAGAAATATTCACATTTTTTCTGCATTTTTACCGCAAGCATAAATTCAACAAAATTTACAAAAAGGGAAAACATGTTTTTTGAATGTTATATGACATGTATATCTCGAAATACCATGTCACTCATTTCTGTCGGTTGGTCGGTCTTTCTGTCGATCTGTCTCTGTCCGCTGATCCTTGGCCCGTCTACCTATAACTTGAAAAGTACGCCTCGTTTTGGATGACATTTTCATTAATATTATGCACCTATTAGACATATTTCACACATACTAGATTTCCCCGTACATTTGTCCTTAAAACATAAAATGACATATGAGTATGGTGTATCTGAAGTCATTTGAAATAGCATAAAAACCTTTGGTCGGCGCGTCCTTTGTAATTTCATGACGTATCATAGGCGTGCGGCATTTATTTAGAACGATAATAATAATGTTTTTATATCACAATAAATGGATTTTACTATCTTCTTATTTTTTTGATGTGGGATAAAAAATGCTTATATTGGGAGTTTAATTTATGTTGACTGAAAGTTAAGAAATGGAAAAATTACAGAATTCCAACGTTTGACATAGGCAAATATTTACATAGCAGGTAGGTATATAAAAAGGTATATAAAGACTTACATTATAGGTATTTATATATCATCCTCGCCTTCGGAGCTGTCGCTAGAGTCATCTTGTAGAGGAATTACAACGGGATTTACAGGAGGCAAAACACAATATTCATTTTCTTTTTCAATAATATGCCTAGAACACTGCTTCCATAGGTCTGTGGCAGCAATATGAGATACTGCATCTCTTATTGTGGCCAATAGCGATTCACTTAATTGAGGGGTCTGATTATGTTTTCTTACTTTTTTTTTTAAAGCAGCCCAGACCAACTCAATCGGGTTAAAAATGCAGTAATAGGGAGGTAGACGTAATACTTCATGGCCATTTTGCTGAAGCAGATTGTCAACAACATACTCTTTTTCAAATTTTTGTCTTTTAATAAGATCCAATAATATGGCTTTGGTTGATTTTTGTGGTATTTCCATTCCTTTATCCTTCATAAAATCAATAATGTCTTGTTTTTTTGTGCCTGTATTCGGACTTTTGTTTTTCTGTCGGGAATGGTATGGCGCATTGTCCATAATAATCACTGAATTTGGGGAAATGTTTGGTATTAACTGCTGCTCTATCCACTTTTCAAATAAGTCGGAGGTCATGTCCTCATGATAGTCGGCACATGATTCTTAGATATTTTTGGCAGATAACAGCAAGGCATTAGGTATAAATCCATTTTCACTGCCAGCATGGAGAATAATGATTCGTTTTCCACGGTTGCATGGTGCATTTAAAATGCACTTGTTGCTGTCGTCAACCCAGCCGTACTGCACAACATCATGGGTATCATACCACGTTTCATCCAGGTAAATCAGATTTCTTTTCTGCTCTCTATAGATTTTAACTTTGTGCAAAAATTCTTGGCGCAATTCAACGATTCGAGACGACTCCATAATCACCATTCTTTTATCTAATTTTTTGTATTGAAAACCACACAGTTTTACAATACAGTGCAGTGAGTCTAAGCATTTGTAATTATAAAAATCTTCAGGATAATCTTTTAATTTATCCCGTATCATTTCCAACGTGGGCACCAAATTTTCTTTATAAAATCCGTATATTATACGACGAATATCTTCCTGAAAACCCACGTCTATTCTTTTTAATTTTTGCCCTATGCGCTTTCTGTGGAAGGAATGGTTGACTACATCTCCCCTTTTTATAACCCGATAAATGGTAGACCGACTGATTTTTGTCAGGATACAAATTCTGTTTAAAATTTGATTTTGCGAGGAATCTGGATTTTCGTTTTTCAGACAATCATACATATTTAGGATTACTCTTTGGGTCTGTTCCTCTAAATCTTTATGAAAGAATTCTGCCTGCACAGGTTCATCAACCTCGTGGCTTGGAGCATTTTCCCAAGGTCTCCAAAGAGCCATATTTAGGACACACAAGAACAATCAACACAATAATTAAATCAAGTATTCAAAAGTCAAAAACACACAAACTAATAAAATCTATGAAAAAACACGGACAGACTAAAGAAAACACGTTTATTCACCGCTACACGGCACTGGCTAAACTGTTTCAATTTTCAGTAGCCACCTGCACTTGTTCCGAGCTCTGAAATACACGCTTTCTCATTGGCTATGTCCACGCATAGGCGTGCTTTAGTCCACGTGGACCGGTGAAACTGCCTTTGATCTCTTATACGGGGGATATTTGCTGCGAAATTTGGCGATTTTTGCAGCAACAGAGCGTGTTAAATATAGATATATAAAACGCACCCGGTATTTCACAGTGTTTCAAGTGACTTCAGATAAAGTATACCTGCATAGTAACCGATGACTGTGGATCCTAAAAGCTCCAAAACTCTACACAAAATTATGCGAAATATGCAAATTTTAAGGTCCGGATTCTCAGGGGAGATCGCCTCCCCCCCCCTGGCAACGTTGTCAGATGGTGAATAGGGCGGGGAAGAAACCGAATACTGAAATCCAGTATTCGAATACGAATCTTGAATATTGTACTTTAAATTGAATTCGAATACTCAAGATTCGAATATAAAGAAATAAGTAATAGAATACCGCTGTTTTGAACACCGGATTCCTTTTGAATATTCCTACTTGAAAAAACATAATGCGCACTTTAAACTTAAAAACATACAAAAAAAATAGAAAATACATGATTATATTAAATAAAACTTGAAATAGCAATTTGATACACAGTGTCACACTGAAGTTACACAAACTAATTATATACTGAGTGACAACAAAGGTAAACACCTACGTATGTTTATTAGAATTCAACCTTTTTTTGTCACTCAGTACATAATAAAACTTAATCAGAAAATATATGAATCTAACAAGATGTACTTACATAGTTGAAAAATAAACTTACCTTCTTGTATAGCTACTATTTCTGGTATCACAAATTATAATACAAACAAAATAACTTTGCGTAGATATTTTGTTTCTGCCATCCGCAACCACCGCGAACAATTATTCGAATAATACCCAAGTCTGATGGCAATGTTACTAAATGGGTGGGGAATACGGACCAAATGTGTGGATCTGCTTGACAGACTTGAAACATTCATTTTTTTCGTAGTCAACTTTTCTCTCGGAGATCTTACATTATATATTTTCTGATGTTGAATTTGGCAACATCGCATATTCGATTTGACCGAAATTCACCGGTCGCGACCGTCAGCAGCGTTTTGTAAACAAACATCCGGTTCAAGAAAACGAGCACCTATTCGACACCGACAGATCCGGTATCAGTTGGCCACGGTCGCATACGCGATCCTCCTTTGTCTTCCCCGCTGGTCCTTTATTTCTTTAATTCGTGTGCGTACTGGATCTTCATTTTCATTTGTTCCTATCGACTCAATTCTCATTTGTTTTACGGCTTTCTGGTGTTTGGTCTTTCGAGCCGGACAAAGTACGGTAAACGCGTTGGTACCCGGATTTTCGTCACGGATTTTTTCGTTTTGGTGTTTTTTGGACCTTCGATAGTTTTATGGTGTGTGTTTGGGTTGATAAGTGCGTGGACAGCCTTCAGAAACAGGATGTGCGGATACCTACACGGCTGCGGAAGATGACTGTTATCGGAGAGGTAATTTTATGGCATATGAAAATTGATTTTGAAATTGAAGCCAATAAAGTTTTGCGATCTCGAAATCTTCAAATTCCCGGTAATTGGTTTTTCAAATGATATATGACCTCATCTAAATACGTGTCACTGAAGACCAAAGCTAAAAAACTAGAAGTCGGCCCAGTGATGGAGGAGAACTTCAGAATTTGTCTAATCTTCGTATTTCGATGTTTTAGGCCCGTATCGTCAGTCGTCCCTACAATTGTAGGGCGGGTTTATGGCCTCCTTGATTGTCATCCTCCTTTCTCTCCTTCAAAACTTTCTAGATTACACTTGTCCCGTGTCAGCGTCACCGCTCTCCTATTTTGAAGATATGTTTTCTTTTTAAATTGTAGGAAATTTCAGGCTGATAAAACATGATATAACTCAAAAGCAAGCACAATTTGATGCAAATAGATGTTTGTATCATAACCTCAAAATAGAGTTCTGACACGGAGAAGCAGAAAACTATGACAATCAAGGAGGCCATAAAGGCGCCCTACATTTGTAGGGACGACTGACGATACGGGCCTTAGAGATTCTGATAAAATTTTGGTTGTCATAAAGACTTCATTTATTGAAATCTGGCATTTCTTATATTTTTGTAATCACTAATGTTTCGGTGAGAATTCTGAAAATTAACTTTTTGGCGGTCAACATCATACCTCGATTTTGGTATTTTTACTTCCCACATCAAGTAAGATCGTAAGTTTGTAAGATCGAAAAACTTTGAAAATGAGATGATTGTCGGATGTTGTATAACATATGACGGTTCAGAAAAACGTGGCAATATTTTTAGGGTCTAAAGCAAATAAAAAAAAGGTCATAATAATCATGGGTTTTAAAATTACCCTTAACTGAGATACAGGGTGTTGAAATTGTAAATTTGAAATCCAAAAAAAGATTATAATCTTTGCAGTTGATTAAGATATTGACTTTAAAGTTTGTACATGTAGTACTGACATTATAGTCGATAGATATAAAAATTTTGGTGCCTGACGTAGAAATTGGGAAATTCTTACCCCTGAGGAAGAAAATAGAAAAATATTTTCTTCGCCATTGACTTTTTAACTATTTATTACATTTTTACATAAGGTGTTCAATTTTATATGAATTGCATCTCTTGAGAAATTTCTGATAGACTTCTGGTTTTGAAAAATTGGTTTGAATATTTGAATTGGTATAAAAAACTTGACCAGTTTTACTTTGAAAATAGCATTGTTTGACTGTTGTTCATGTTTCGACCTTATTTGGTCTCATCATTGACGAAGAACCGTGAAGTTACAACCTCCTGTATTTTGGTAGTATGACATTTTTCAACCTATCCTTATAGGTACATTTTTGTTTGTAGTTTCTATTCTAGAAATATTGCCAGGTTTTTTTTTGCAACAGGCTGTATAACAAAAAAAAACTGCTCAGATAATGTTTTATTTTTTACCCAAGGCCCATTGTGCAAAAATGGCTATTGATAATCGAGTTGCGAGAGAAGAACCAAAAATTCGATATGATACTTAAATTTCGTTTTTCGATGTTTTTACTTTCTACGCCGCTGGCGAGGACCCTGCTATGTAAATTGTCACACAAGGTGACTATTATGCCAAGGACGAAAAAGCTTCATAGCTTATGAAAATCGATCCAGTGGCGGCGCAGCTAGTAGCAAAAAAGTAGAAAAATAAAAACCGCTGATATTTCTTTTTTCGACTTTCCAGCGAATGCTGAAAATTTTTGAAATTCTTTTAGGGATAAAAAAATGAGGGGTGGGGGTGCCGATGCATGTGTGTAGCTATCAGCTTCCGCTGCTCAACTGGGTGTGGACCGTCGATTGTCATCCACCAGAAATATTCATAGTTTGATTATCTGCGCACGCTGGAATTTTATTTAGGGGAAGGGGGAGGGCCAGCCATTGGCAAGAGATAACTTTGAAAGCCTACCTGCCTTCAGAGCTTTTGAAGAACGACGGGTAGCATATTTTCTCAGGGATCAAATCCTAAAGAGCCTAAAAATTGTACAGAAAAACATGCTAAGTATGCAAATTTTATTTGTGTGAGCCTGTTTGACTAACTTGATCCATTAATTTAATTTTTCTGTTATTATTATATTTCCTCGTAGCTAATTTTTTTATGAACTGGTGGCAGCATTGTGGAGAAGTGCAGAGTCAACCTACATGCCGCCACTGTTTTCAGTTTCCGATGTTTCTTGGACGTAGTAAAACTTTTTTGATGAGGTTAAGTTTTATAAATTTCAAACTTGTTTTCTCGATGTTGGCAGGGGCTCTCCCTAGGAATTGGGTTTCCTCATTTATCTTGTTTTTGTGTAACGTATTTGGAATTTTTAAGATTTATCACCACCCTCCCACTTCCTCCAACTTTTCGATAAAGAAATCGTTTTTACGATCGCTCGTACTAATATTTTTTTCAGTGACCTTTGAATTCAACCATCTTAGACTGAATCAATGTATCACTGATTTCTGAGAATTATTTTTTTCCATCGCGTACAATACCATCAAGTCGGCAAAAATGAAAAACCCAACGAATGGTTTTATTAATTGCCTTGCATTTAAATTCAATTCAAATTATGCGGTTGTACAGAAGTTACTTCGAAATCCCGTTACATAACAGATTCCTCTGTTAATAAAATGATTTAAAAGAATTTGAACATTCTAATAATTAAATGTATGAATACCTGTGGATTGTGGTTGGGGAAGCACATACTGCAAACATTTTTTTACGCGAGATTATATGTTGATTATTATGCGAGTTTGAAAATTATCGTGGAAAAAAGTAAATGTATTCAAGTAAATTATATATGCATATCGTATAAAATATTGATAATTAGATGATATAAATTTGCATTGTTTACTGAGAGTTTTACTTCAAATGCTTAAAGATACACAAGAGTTTTGGAATTTCGTATCGTCAACTTTGGAACGTTACGCATGGCTGTTTCGGTTATTTCAATCCCTAAATTACATTGAATGAAAATTATATGATAAAAGCCCGATATATAATGTGCTTATAATTCGAAATAACTTGGCAATCGTTGCCGTTTCGTGTATTAAAAAAACTAAATTATTACATTTAGTTTCAATGCGAATACTTTTACTAAAATTTGACTAATTACTGTGAAAAAAAAGTACTAGGCTGTATCAGCAAATTACCTTAAAAACTAGCTATTTAATGCTCTTCCAAAATTAGTGTAACATTTTTAGGTCCTGTTTACTAAGACTCGTTTCGTCAATCGTCCCTACAATTGTTTTCTTTTTAAATTGTAGGAAATTTCAGGCTGATAAAACATGATATAACTCAAAAGCAAGCACAATTTGATGCAAATAGATGTTTGTAACATAACCTCAAAATAGAGCACTGACACGGAGAAGTAGAAAACTATGACAATTGTAGGGACGACTGTCGATACGGGCCTTAAAACTGAATAACTCCAAGTTTTGTCATTTAAGACGTAATATACTAAGTGACATATAAATCCGAACACCCAGTTTAAATGGTTTTATTTTAATAAAATTTTGTATAAGTACTTAATGAAGCATAATAAGTAAATGATAAAAATTTCAAAATGATTGCACTGCTTTAAAGCCCTTTGACCTTTAATAATGTGTGGATGCACCCTGATGTGCTACGCATTCTCCAACGCGCCTAGGCATGCTTCTGATCAGGTGGTCAATGTCCTCCTGTGGTATCTCATTCCAGGCAACCACCAACTCCTCTCGAAGTGCTTCTAGAGTCTGAGGAGGACGTTGCAAATTGAGCAATCTCCTACCCATCATATCCCACACGTGCTCAATTGGGGATAAGTCGGGAGATCTTGGAGGCCATGGTAACAATGTGACATCATTATGTTGAAAGAAGTCTATTGTGACTCTTGCAACATGTGGTCGGGCATTATCTTGTTGGAAAGTTGGATCTGCCAGGGTGTCAAGATAGGGTAAAAGATGGGGTTCTAGAACTTCGTGGATATAACGCTGCGCGTTCATGTTACCTCCGATGAAGATTAAAGGTGACCTGGAACCATAAGCTATAGCACACCAAACCATAACTCCAACAGTGTGATGAACATGTCTTTCAACAAAAAACTGTGGATTCCTCCTTTCACCACGTCGCCTTCTAACCCTGGCACGACCATCGTGCATGCCTAAACAAAATCGAGACTCGTCACTAAAGACAATACTGTTCCATTCCTGATCCCAGAGTGACCGTTGTTTGCACCACTCAAGGCGATTACGTCGGTGTTCTCGAGTTAAAGAGAGGACCCAGTGTGGCCGGTATGAAAACAAGCCAAAACTTCTCATTCGTCGGTAAACTCTTCGCATGCCAATAGGTCTTCCGTGTTCTGCAAACCATTCATTTGCAATGGACCTGGTAGTGGAGAAACGGTCCCTTAAGGCCAATAATCTTAGGCAGCGATCTGCACGGTCTGTTGTTCTACGGCGGCGTCCAGTGCCCCTTGCTCTTTGCGTACGGCCTTCTCGAAGCCATGCCTGACAACACCTAACCACAGTGTCTACACTTCTTTGCACTCTGACTGCAATTGCCCGAAAAGAGAGTCCAGCTTCCCGAAGTCCCACTATACGGCCCCTATCAAACTCACTAAGTTGACGAAATCGTGCAGGTCTCCGTACTCTAGGCATCGTAACCGATCGTAAAGGATGTCAAGAACCAAAATCCGCCAACCTTGATTCTTTACTGCGGCTGAAATATTCATTTTTAGAGCGTTAGTGAATTAAAAAAAAGCAGTATAAAAACCGGAATGTCCAACTGAAAATTTTTTCACTTGTTATTTACAGTAAGATAAATACATTCACCAACTTTTATTAAAATAAAACCATTTAAACTGGGTGTTCGGATTTATATGTCACTTAGTATACTTGCGAAGTATTACAAATAAAAAATAATAAGTGCAGATGTCTTTTGTGTCCAAATTACAACTTGGTGCGTAATCACTTTTTATATTAGCAAATGTCTGAAACAGCTTTCCATAATCCTTTTTTATTCATTGTTGTATGCAGGCATCAAAATAATGAACATTATATTAGGTTGTACATATTTGTTATTTATATTGATTTTTACAACATTCAAATCAAATAACGAATTATAGGAATCATTATTAACATCCTACATTAATTAAATGAAAATTAAATTAACATAAAATATTAAATATTGCCTGAAATAAATGATTATCATTATTATTATTATTTTCACACATACTTTCAAAATGTGTACCACTGACTCTTATAAACAACATGCATCTTCTTAAAAATTGTCTTTTTAAACGTCTCAAATTTAAATCAGATATTTCGCATGCTATTGAGAGATTCGATGACGCAGTTTATCGCCTTTTCCTTTAAACATTCCCAGTGAAAAAATTAGGGGGTTCAGGTCTGGGGAGCGTGGCAGCCACAAAATTGGACCGAGTCGGCCAGTCCATCTTCTAGAGGCACCCTTCATTCTGTAACCACAACCTTCTTGTCTCAAGAGATACGTCTTCCAAAAGAATGGGTAGATGATGCTGCAAAAAAGCTAAGCGAATTTCTGCATTGAGGGTCGCAGGGCGTTCGAATGGGCCAATTATCCGCCCGTTGATCCCGCTCCAAAGATTCACTTTAAATTAATAAAATATACCCGACTCGTCGCTCCACCAAACGCTGTCGAAAAAGTTTGGGCCTTCCTGATGCTTCTCCAGCATTGTCTGACAAAACTAAACACGTTTAGCATAATCACTGCTTAATAGCGTTTGAACCCTCTGGGGGGTATTCATATCTCTTCAAAATACGTTGAGCTTGCGATTTAGATACGCCAGTACGTCGTTCGATTAAACGTACTGACGTTGATGGGTCCTCCACCACTTGCTCTAATACAACCTTAACCTCTTGAGTGCTACGGGGTCTTCCCTCAGAACCCCTCCTGTCAGGATTTCTGCCTTCTCAGTAGGAATTGAGAGTGCGAAGAATAATCTCATGGGTCGTTCGATTGCGGCTTGGATATCTTTTAGAGTACAATCTCGCTGCCAATCTTGCGTTATAAGAAACGCCACCGCGTGAAGAACCCTTCTAGTTTCTCCATAAATTAACAACATGTCTGTGTACTCACGAGAGGTGAACTGCGCAGATTGATGATTTGCCATCTTGAAAAGAGAAAAAACCCATAAGCTAGAAGTTCTTTATAACCTTAAAAGGCAAAAAAGGAGCAAAAAGTGGGTATTTTTTGAAAAAACTTGGATATTACGAGTACGCACTTTAGCGTTCTGCGATCTTTTTGTGAATGGTAACTTGACTGTTTTTATATCTACACAGATATTTGTCAGAATTCTATAATCCTTAAATGATTTTGCCTACCTTTCATTTGCGTTACCCCGTCTATGATTGTTCTCTGAATATTTCGTCAAGTAGATAGACTCCGACATAAATGAGAAACACGGGTAGTGTGATGAAGATATCTTCAAGCAACAGAAAACTTGTGAAGCAAAGTTCGAAGATTATCGCGAGCTTAAGAGCTTATTAAGAGGCTGCTGATCTCAGTGATACTATGCACCTGTTACACATCCATATTTTTCCTATATATGCCATAGTTATAGTTATATAGTTTGATATGCAGAGGTCGAAGATTAATCGTACCTAAGTGAACCTACCTAATCATGATTCGATTTTGTATTTTGAAACAATTTGGCTCATACCTTTTCTTTGAAACCTCCAACGAAGGCGTAGGAAGTATAGAGTTAATCTACTTGACGCCTTTTTTCTGTAATTATCATTAATTTTTATCTAATCTTTGTTCACCTTTAATATTTTTAAAATATGACAAAATACATATGAAAACGTAAACATCCGTGTATTGAGAAAGTGGGTGTACCATCGTGTTAAGAGTGTATAAATTGTTGTCTAGAAACCTTGAAATTTTACTTGTGCAGGATATTTAGTTGAGAAATGTGAAACGGATACCTCATTAGGATAAAATGCAGTGTCACAGAAACTGAGAGAATGGACTGATTGATCTATTTCAAAAAAATGATTGAATGCCTCCCAAAAATATCAGAAATTTGAAAACGAGCTCAAAAAACGTTACACGATTAACGAAAGACTGTTATTGTCCACATCACGAAGATATTTGTGTTTTTTGCCTCACGCTAAACGAGAGAAGCATTGACATTGCAAATATTTTTGAATTTCAAATACCGCTTTTTAATGTTTAATACGCCAAACAAAAATAACGAATCATCAAGCCGTCCGTTAATGTTATTTTTGATAGTGATAGCAAATAACGTTGTGATGGTTGGAAAAATGAGAGGTTTTATGACCATTAAAGTGATCCGTGATAATGAACCGGTTGCTTATTTTTACTTCCCACGCCTGCTGGGAAAATTTTCGAAAATGGTATATTATGTTTTTTGGATGTTATATGACATGTACATCACGAAAAACCATGTCACTCATTTCCGTCAGTCTGTCGGTCTGTTCGCTAAGCTTATAACCGCGTATAACTTGAGAAGTACCGCTCGGATTTCGATGAAATTTTTACACAATGTTACTATTATCCCAAGGACGCAAAACTTTGTAGTTTTTGAAAATCGATTCAGTGATGGCGGAGAAAAAGGCCAAAAAGGAAAATTGCTCAAACTTCGTTTTTTTGCGTTTCAGAAGGTTCTGGTCATTTTCAGAAAAAAAATAGTAGGAGTTGAAATTTGGGGGTTGTAGGGGGTGGGTAAGGGTATATTTTTTTTGATCTTAGTATATTTTTACGCTTCCAACCCCGGTTAATTTATGCCCCTATTAGCCATCATATTTCACACATCATAGATTTAAAACTTAGAGTGATAGAGAAATGTTTTCTTTCGATCTGCGTACTCCTGCCTAACTAAGCCCACGATCTTGCGAACCGGTGCGGCTTATATATCTGTCCGTACAGAAGCGCAAAAAACATGTTTTTTGCGTATATAAACGGACCTTGCACGAAACGAAAGATAACTAGTTGCAGCGATGCCGTGCAGGAGTGGAAAGGGACAACGTTGCCACATGGACGGTACCTACCAGTAGGGAAGAGACAGATTATCTATGGAGTAACTGTATTGGTCTATTTGACTGACTTAATTCGTTTCATTGCTGATGATTTCTTGCATTTATTTTGTAAACATCGTATTTCTATTATATTTTAACTATTATGTTCTTCTGATTCGAAATCCCAGCTTCGAATTCTACAAAAATCGCTAAATAATGAAAACATAACCTCACGAAATAAGCTCTCACTTATTCTCCGTAAATAACGGAGCTTATTTAGATAACGGAGATCGAAGGATCCTCTCGCAACTGCGCAACTCTAAAATATATAACTCATAATAAAGTAGGAAAGTAAAACCCTATTTTGATTAGAATGGTTGGTACCTGTAAAGTTGTTGCCTTCACCGAAACATTTTTCACACAAAAATATAAAATGGTATATTTTCCTGTCTTTCCACATTATAAGCCATTGTAAACACACTAATGATGGAACAATAAAATAGGTAACATAATTTATAAAACGATAGCGTTGCTAACGATGGTGACGAAGCGCGGTGTTGCCAAGATTGCTTTGTTTCACGATGACACACTGATTTGCTGTAAGCAATGACTGTTGTATCTTTGAATATTTTTTCTGTTAAGCTTGGTATAGAATCTCAAAAAATGTAACAACTGTATGTGTATGCATTATACCGAAGTAAAAGTAATAAGGGTTTTACTCCGTACATGTGGAATTTGATTTTGATACATGCGCATATGAACAACTGTGTGGTTTAAAAAAGTAACATTGTAGAAAAATGGCAATGTGTGGCGACACCGCTATCTAAAGAACTGTCAAAGGAACCTTCAGTTGATTATATTTCATGGTCCTGTGATGTAACTTGGACAACTCCCTGTTCCATTGTTCATAAAACTTTTTTTATTTTTTGTGTGAAAAATAGTGTCAGCAAAATTTTAAATTACATAATAGATACTTCTACATACGAATAAGATGCAAATATCACCATATTCAGTGGAAGCATGAACTTTACCGACACTCGATATTTTTTACTTGCAGAAATATGTAGACGACATCTGTGCGGACGGTTGCGGAGGTGTTGGTAATGTCTCCTCCCCTCACACGGCCGCCGGCGAAGACTCCTCCTACGATTCTGACTACGAGGCGGAGTCCGCGCACGGAAGCACCGCCCACCAGGATGTGTCGCGTACGGCCAGCGACACCCTTGCGGCAGAGTACGCGGAATATGTACAATGTGGCAACGTCGCAGCGGCTGCGGTCACGCCTATGGCAACTGCGCAAGCGCAGAGTGTAATCGGTGTGCAAGAGGTCACCGCGCAGGCGGGGTACACGGCCAGGTAAGTTTTATAGTAATTAGGGAGTTATTGAGATACTGCCATCCATTATTAATACCAACATTACATTATAATGACAAGTAGAGACTGATCTTAAAATTGTTTCAGAATTAGAGTTATTGGGAGGTTATTGGTGTTGGGAGTATTTCCGTGAACGGATGACATTTGTGACCTAAAAATACCTCAATTCCAATACATACTTTTATTATTTATAAAGCTTCGTTATTGTTTTTGTACTTTTTCGTGTTTTGCAGCTCGTTGGAGGTAAATATCAGCCTTTTTGGTTTGAACTTTTCGGCCAAAGGGTCCATGATTTTCACCTTACAATTTTCAACTTACAATCAGCGAACAGTACAAAATAATAGCAAGAAAACTACTTTTCTTTGTATAATTTCTTTTATCTGCGAATTTGATGCCAATTCATTAGATGAGCATATGCCAATATCAATGTTGATGAAATAAAGAAAAATAATCTATTCGTTTTTTTAATGTTTTTGTTAGAGATAGAATATAATTAATGTTTTGTTGTTTAGAACATAATTTTTTGTGGGTTTGTGTCAAAATATAGTAGTTTATGAATAAAATATTGCTGTTTTTTATTGAATAAATAACTAACAATTTTATATATAGGAATATATATCCGATATATATATATATATATATATATCGGATATATATATATATACATATATATGTCATGTGATATGATATTTATATATCATGATATTTGCGGACCTTGGTAGTCTTTGAAAATCCATCCAATGACGGCGGAGAAAAAGCCCAAAAACGAACAAAACAAATAGAAATCGCTGAAGCTTGATTTTGTGTCGTTTCATAGGATCCTTCTCATTTTTGAAAAAAGAATTTAAGTGCAAAAAAATTGGGGGTGTGGGCGTAGGTAGGGTTTATCTCAATATTTTTGATGTTAGTATATTTATACACTCTCAACCTCAGTGGCGTGGAAGTGCAGAGTCAACCTACTTGACGTAATTTTTTTCCCAGGGTAGAGTTCGCTCTGAAGCTAGGGTACACGGAACGTCTAGTACAAGCGGCTCTGCAAAAACTGGGCCCTTCGCCCACTCAAAATGAGCTCCTGGCCGAACTGATCAAACTGGACGCCCCCCGAAGAGGGGCGGGCGGAGCACCAGGGAGCAGCTCTTGCGAGGGTAGCCCCACTGAAGGCTTGGAGGCAGCCCACGAGTTCGCAGAAGAGGTGGCTAGACAGGCTCAGCTACATCAGCAACAACAGCTCAGGCCGATTGTTATAGATGGAAGCAATGTTGCTATGAGGTAAGTTTGTGGTTATGTAATAATAATAATAATGTGTATTAGAGTATTAATACATAATGGAATCAAAATGTGAGCAAATAATATAACACCAAAAAAAAAAACAAATACTCCAAAAGGCTGGGGATTGGCGTAGCCATTTTTCAGCCCCGCCTGAATAGCTAAGGTAAATTCGTTAAGTGCATTACTATATCCTACTAGGGCATATCATATACATTACATAAAGAACATGTAGCTGACTATAATAATGCTAACAAAACTTTAAAATATAATAATATTAAAAATGAGATCTATTCAACCACCTGTTGATTCATTGAATAGTAACTGTATTAGCATTCGTTTGAATTCTCTTTTGAAGCTGTGAACAGACGTTAGTTTTTAAAAAAAATTATAATCATTTAGTATACGGGGAGCTATGTAATATAAACATTTTTTAAATTTTGAAGTAGTGTGGGCTGGTATATTATAACAATATTCATTACGGAGAAACAGTTGATGGAGTGAAGATCTTTTCTCTAATGTGTCAAAAAGATATTTAGGAGATTCATATTTTAAAACCCTAATAGTAGAAACAGCATAGAGAAGTAGCGAGCGATATTTGAACTTTAAAAGATTTTCCCTTACATAATACCCAGTAATGTCTTCGCGTCTGTTTATCTCATTGACACAAAACCTCATACAATGATTTTGTAAAACTTGAATTTTTTGTTGCAATTCCTCTGTGAGAAAAGGGTAATATACAGCACTACAATAATCTAAATGTGTGCGATTAATGCATTAACAAGTTTTAGTTTGATATCACTCGTTAATATATACTTATATTCCCATAACGATTTGTATTTATAATGACATACTTTGAGCTTAATTATAAGGTGACTTTCAAAAAATTTTGGTTTCTTCAACAAATTCAATGTGAATACCTTCTAAAAATATGTTCGTATTTATTTCTTGTTTACACTTCAGAATCGCTAGTCTAGAACAAATACAACATACTTTGGTTTTCAGCCAAACCATGTTGATGCCTTGCTGAAGTCTAACATAACTAGTAGCGTTATCATGCCATTCTGTATAAATTTCACTATATCACTGGAAATTTTAATGAGTGCTGTAGATGTATTATGTAATTTTCTAATCCCAGATTGGGTGTCAGTCAACACTTTGTTGATTTCTGGATGCTCACGAAGTTCATCACCTGAAATTTTCTCTAATAGTTTGGACATTGAAGGTAAAGCACTTATTGGTAATAGGTCCTAAAAATCGATGGCATTATTAACTTTTGCAAGTGATGTTATAACTGCCTTTTTTCCATAATGATGGTTTTTCCCCTGTACTCAGTGATTGGTTGATGATACTGGTTAGATGATATCTACAAAAAGAGAACACGTTTCTCAGCATATTTGTAGTGATACCATCAACACCCGCAGCATTTGACTTCACTTCCTTGAACATGATGAAATGAAGACTTGCGTATATAGATTTTTTTTGCCCTGAGAATGTGTCAAGAAATACGTCATCTGGTTGCAGGTCTGGTACTGAGTTAATAAAGTGATTATTGATGCCTTCAGCATAGGGTCTACAGTTCTTATGTGAAGTACTTCTTTTCAATGGTTTATGTATATTGTAGAACATAATAATAGTTTCGGTAATGTGGAGAACTTTGTCATCAAGACTTGGCAAACCATCTATATAGCTCCATTTCACAGAAGCATCATCGTTTGCAAACTAAACGTGATCGAAATGCGAGAAATCTCTGTAGTAAAATATTGCAGGTGTGTATTCTGGACTTTCAGTTTCCAACTTACAGAAGCACAATCTGTGATTAGTGACTTCTGGCATGTCTAGAGTTCCACACTCGTAAACAGTGACTGTATTTGTTGTAAAAATGATATCGATCATTGTTGCTGTATTTGGTGTTATGTTATTCTTGTTGGTTCATTAATTACGCGGTTCATGTTGAATAGAGACATCATTTGCAAAAATTGTTTGCTTTGACCAGCATGCTCATCGGTGAGGTCGATGTTGATATCACCCAATAGTATTGCTTCATCATATGTGATGTATATAAAGGCAATCATATTTTCCAAATCAGACAGATTGCTTAGTGTAGTGGACGGCGGTCGGTAGATAACACCTACTGCAATACTCTTACTCTCGAATTTTAGTGACAACCAAAGATGTTCAACGCCATTTGAAGGAATATTCCGAAGATCTATAACTCTGTCCTTTTTCTAGACTGAATGTAAAAATATACACCACCACCTCTTCCTTCTTTATCGTTTCTAATAAGCTGGTAGTTGGGCAGAGAAATCAAATCAGAGAGGGGATGTCTGAAGAAAGCCAAGTCTCAGTTAACGCTATGATGTGGAAATCTTGTTCTAGTATGGTGTCTGCAAACATATCGAAGCTTGAGATTAGTGACCTAACATTAACATGGGATACATTTAATCTATTGTTCTGTTTTGTCAAGCCTACGCAGTTAAGTGGAATGGTATTATTTGCCGTAACTTCTAAATTGCTTTTTGATTGCTATATAGAATAGTTGATGTTGCTCCTGGCTGTTACAATCTTCCTCCTCATAACTGAACAATTAATTTTATCGAAAGCAGATTGATCAATACTATGATTGAACTTAAATTTTTTGTTAAATTCCAGACAATTCGGGCAAGACACTTTAGAGTTTACACATGTATAAGCTGTATGACCCTTCTCTCCGCATTTCATACAGATTGTGTCACTGTTACATTTATTGGCCGTATGGTTGTAGCCACTGTAGTTATAGCACCTCAATACATTGATGTGCTCATAATATACAATTTTCTAGAATATTGTAAAATGTCTTCGGATTACATTCTATGATAGCCAAAATCCTTGTCCTCATCTGTTTTAATTTAAGGACTTTCAAATAAGCATCTTTTTCTACAAAAATATTTTGTTGTTTTATCACCTCGATAAGGTTTTCATTATCGATCATTTGTTCAATCCCTACAACTTTCAATTTAGGATTTTGGCGATTACTTACAACTCTTCCTTTGTATGAACTGCCCAGTTCCTTGTTGACTATATCGTTTATCTTTTGGACTCCATCTTTATCCGCACATAAGATTGTCAGGGTACCATTATCAGCTTGCCTCCGGTTACCTTCACATTTAACTCGGCGGGCTTTAAAATTTTTAAAACGTCATTTTTCGTTTGTAGAGCTTGCTGAATCTCTTTAGGTTTGATGATAACGCTGTTTGAGTTTCACCACTGAACTGTACGTCATCTCTACAGTTGGCATAATGTAGTCAAACTTTGTTTGTTTCTTTAGTTGTAATATTAGTATCAACATCTTCTGCTGATTTGATCATTTGAGTTGTTTCGACAAACTTTTTGCTTATTATTTCAATTTTCTCGTAGAGTAAGACAATTTTTTCATATAATTCTTTAATTATAATATCTTTTGCTTTACTTAGTTCATCTTTTGATATGATAAGCTGTTCCTTGACTTTTATAATATCATTTACTAACTTTTCGTTGGTATTACCACTTGTATCAATATTTTCTTCTTCTTCCAAGTTGTTCTTGTTTTAATTTCGTGTACCTTGGCTCATGACTTGCACTTTTATACTTGGCTATTCTGGCATTACGTCGATACACTGTAGACTCTTCTTGTGTGATTTGTCACTTTCTTGACGTCAATTCAAAAAATGTCAAAAATATCGGCCAAGATGGTTGGAGATTCTAATTCAGCACCAAACACTATCACCAACAAGTTCACGAGCACCCTATTTTCTTTCCTCCAGCTGGGCACCTTCGTTGTTAAATGTCTTTATTTTTTCTCAGGATTCACAGGTATTTAACCTAATTGTAGTTAGCATTCAGTAAGTGGTCAAAGCATTATATCTAATTTGTGTCTTACTACAAAACAGCCATTTTCGCGAATATCTGTTACGTTTTAACATCTACTGAGGTGAACATCAAGTGACATCTTTCTATTGGACCGTAATGTACAAATATGGTAAAACTCAGGACCGAATTCAGAGCTGTTATGTACAGATCTAGATACTTTTATTGACTGGTAATTTCAACAATAAAATATACGAAGTAAATATAGAAAAATGTATACTAGAAAATTGTTATAGTACTTCTGGGATTTATTGATTACGGGGTAAGTCAACAGAAAAAAATTGAAAACAATGAGATACTATGTTTGTGTCACCCATTTCCGTTGGCAGGCCTGTCTGTCTGTCTACTTAGTATTTAAAAAATGTCGACACAAGGTTACTACTATGCCAATGACAAAAACTATTTGTAGTTTTTCAAAATCGAGTACTTCATTCAGCTCAGTATAGATGTAGCAGTTTCTAATCATTTTCCGTAAATTTGGCAACATTGCATGGTCGATGCTTCGAAAGGTTCCGTGCACGAAGACTAGAGATATTAGGTTAAACTGTGTAAGTGATACACGCATTTGTATGAAGCCAATCCTGTCGCCACGGGTAGTGCCGCAAATCTAGTGGGGGTAGAACATGTCGTAGAGTGTCAATGAATGTCAACGTAACCTTCCGCAATCCTTGTATGCTTACAATTTTTCAAAGTCGACGCAAAAAACAAATAAATAACATAACAACTCGTAAAGTTTTCCGTTTAACTCACGGTTTGCCATGCTTTGTAGGTTTGTCATGATGACAGCGACAAAGAGAGATGGAGAGATGCCATATGCGCAGAATCTGGACTTCATTTTTCTGCGCATTGTACTGGGTGACCCAATAATAAAGGATGCCGGCTATATCTCAGCAACTGCTTAATAGCAGCTAGGGGGTGTACTTTCAATTTAAGAAATTCAAATGCCATTACTTTGCAACAATGCGTAATTTGACGTTTGCACTAATTCATTTTAGTTTATTCTTTTGTTTCTCTTCTAGAATGTCACGGCATTCTATATTTTATTAATACTGCCTTTTAAACAAAATAGCCGCTCTATACAGGGTGTCCGCAAAGTTGGGGTTTTCCTTTACACGACGTGTAGATCTTGAAAACATAAGCAATTTTTCTTAGTACCATATACACCAATGTCTTAAGGGAACCGAGATAAAGGGCTCTGTAACATCAAAAATATCTGAATACCGTCTCCTGTAGCCGCGACTCGCGATATCCCCAACTGGTACCGGCTATTAGCTCAACCCGACGTCAGAACAGGGTCGGGGGTCGGGGTCAGTGTGTCAGGTCAGTATGCAACCTTCAACCGACGGTTACGGTCACGCGTGTAGAGGTAAACGAACTCGTATAATCGATTGCGTTTCAAAAAACGACAAGCACTAGAGACGTGGCTAGAGAAGTGCAAGTATCAAAAACTAAAGTGTGACAAAGGCTGCGTGAAGAGGGGCTGTATCTATTTCACGTCCAACGTGTACAAGCCCTTCAACCTGACGATTTTCCAGCAAGAGTGCGGTTTTGTGAGTGGTTGTTGCATCAACATGACAATAATCCGGACTTTTTGAAGTGCATATTGGTGACAGACGAATCTACGTTCACGCGTAATGGGGTGAATAACTTTCGCAACACTCATGTTTGGTCATTACGCAACATTTTGCCTTCCTTGTTTGACTGCGTCTGCTCGGTACCGCATCAGCTGATTTCATTTTCTGTTGGAGCGGTATGATTTCGGGCAGAGACGTACTTAGCCCTTCTCGTCAACTGGAGAGTGAGTACTTTTTCCTTTATTTTTTTTTTACTTGGTCGCCCTCGTTTCACTACACATTACCTTTGTTATTTCAAGGGTAGTTGTTTCTGAAAAGGAAAACCCCAACTTTGCGGACACAAATAATGGCTTTTGAATTTTTGAAATTTTAGGAAGCTGAAAATAATTTCCAGATTTCACTTATCCACTATTAGCCGGCGTCTTTTATTATGGAGTCACCAGGTACATACGAGATGAGAGATGCCCTATGCGCAGCATCTGAAATTTATTTCCTGCGCAGTGTACTTACTGACTTACTTCACCGTCGACAATTTTTGCTTCACCCCACACTTTGAGTTTAACCTCTTTATCTCTAGTCTTCGTGATGCCGAGCCGTCTATGAACGAACTGCCGAACCAAGGGCGATTCGCTGATAGATCGCTGTATTTTTTGTTGTAAATCAGTAGTACGGGTTAATGAAACCGACTGGCAGATTTAAAAGACATACACAGTGGGCAGCGGTCTCTTAGGTGTAAACATACTCATTTTTTTTCCAGCCATGGTAACAAAGAAATCTTCTCTTGTCGCGGCATCAAAATCTGCGTGGACTGGTTCAAGGCTCGCGGCCATAAGGACATCACAGTGTTCGTGCCAAAGTGGCGGAAGGAGTCGCCAAGACCTGACAATTTGATCCGCGATCAGGAGATTCTCGCCGAGTTGGAGAAAGAAAGACTGCTGGTATTTACACCATCGCGTTTAGTCGGGGGTAAACGAATGGTGTGTTACGATGACAGGTACATCTTGAAGTTGGCCGCTCAGACTGATGGGATTGTTGTCAGCAATGATAACTATAGGTAAGTGCATGACATTATACAGACAGTCCCAGAATAACGGCATTTGTGCACTATTTATCATTATGATTAATATTATTATTATTAGCACTACAACAGTAGGCGGGTAAGTCCAATGACACTGTTGTGTACAGTCCTTTTTATGCTAAATAATGTGCGAAAAAGTGCTGCTTTGTCTTCTAGTTCCTTATCCAGCTGATTCCTGAATTGACATTTGTTGCACCCACTGTTCCTTCACTAAGAGTGTTCCACGAGTATACCACACGATTTGAAATTAAATTTCTCCTGATCAACTTAGATGTTCCCTCTTTTTATATTTTTTTGGTATACCACCGGAGAAAGATTCTGACTCATTAAATATTTTAAAGGAACATGAGTAGCAGCCACTGATCTTGCATATCCCAATCAGGCCCCCTCGTAATCTACGCCCGGCTAGTGTTGTCAAATTCATAGTCCTCAGACGTTGCTCATATGGCAAATGTCGAACCTTTGGTGGAATTCGCGTTAATTTACGTTGCATTCTTTCCAGTAGTTCGCTGTCTTTGACATACCTGGAGAGGTGTTGTTAAATTTGCAGGGATTATGAACTAATTGTATGAGCCTGTTTGACTGACATGATCCATTTAATTCCTTTATTATACATGGTCGTAGCCAAATTTTTTTTGAGAAGGATCAATTTGTGCCGAACATATTCCTTTGTAAATTTATGACAACATTGCATAGGAGATGCGCAGTCGACCTACTTGACGCCACTTGTTATCTCTGAAAAAAACAAATGGTGCGTGAGATTCTCCTTGACTGAATTTTGTCTTGTTTCCAGGGATTTATGCCAAGAGAACGCCGAGTTCCGCAAAGTAGTAGAAGAACGCATCCTAATGTACTCGTTCGTGAACGATCACTTCATGCCCCCCGACGACCCGTTGGGTCGATCGGGGCCGACGTTGGACAATTTCCTGCGGTGCCAGCCCAAGAAGGGCGACCCGCCGCCCCCCTGTCCCTACGGCAAGAAGTGCACCTACGGGAACAAGTGCAAGTACAACCATCCTGAAAGGGGGCCGTTGCCGCACAAGAGTGTCACCGAGAGGCTGTCCGAACACGCACAGAGGCATCTACAGGTAGGATTCCGAGGTTATTTTTGGGGATGCACTGAGTACTAAGTCTTGCAAAAAGCCGAGTACCGGTAGGTTATTTCAGCTACTGTTACGAGGGATGTATTTTAAGTTTTGCATATGGAAATAAAACAGCACGGTGGGTAGTTTTAAATGACTTTATTGTTTTTCGAAGTATTCTCCACGAAGATTAATACACATCTGCATGCGCTCGAACCAATTTTCGAAGCACTTATTCCACTCGTTTGCTGGCAGATCCAAAACGGCATTTTTGAATGCGTCAACTGCTTCTTCTGGTGACTGGAACCTTTGACCACGCAGTCTGTTTTTAATTTTCGGGAAAGTAAAGAAATCGTTAGGACTTAGATCGGGACTATATGGAGGATGGTCCAATAATTCCACGTTTTCTTCCATTAAATACTGCCTTGTTTTTTGGGCTGTGTGCGAGCTTGCATTGTCTTGGTGGAGGATGATTCTTCTTTCGGGTTTGATTTTTCGAAGCTCGGTGATGACTTTGGCAAACAAATGGTGGTATACCAGTCCGCAGTAACAGTTCTTTGCTCATTAAGAGGAATTGTTTCAATATGACCCGCTTTTGACACGAATGTCGCGACCATCTTTTTCAAAACACTTCGAGAACGGATGACTTTTGTTGGCTTTTCTTCACCTTGGAACACCCAAACAGCGGACTGTCGTTTATTTTCTCGTTCATAACAGTAAATCCACGATTCATCACCACTAACAATGCTGTACACATTTTTCGAGTTTCTGGAATTGAAACGGCCAAGCGTTTTTTGACACCATTTAACCCTGGCTGCTTTCTGCTCTTCAGTCAACAGGTGGGGTATCCAACGAGAAACTAATTTTCTTACTCCTAATTCTTCATGTAAAATTTTTTGAATTGAGGTCTTTGAGAACTTCAAGGACGGCTCAATCTCGCGATATGTCACATGTCTATCTTCAATGATGAGTTTGCGCACAGCATCGACGTTTTCCTGGGTGACTGCCGTTTTTGGTGCACCCACCCTGGGATCGTCGCTAAGACTCACCCGTCCACGTTTGAATTCTCCATACCAAAGGGAAATTGCCGACTGATGTGGTGCTTCGTTGCCGAAAACAGACAGTAACTCAGCAAGGCATTCTTGTTGCGATAATTGTCTCTGAAAGTTGTAATAAATTATGGCGCGAAAATGTTCTCGGTCGAGTTCCATTTTTCTAATGACTTGGTGACACTTCAAAATTCACTGTAGTGAGAACACTGCACGTATTGTTGTGAAGCTTTGAATTTAAGTTTACTAAAGAGTGCGGTTAAGATTTAGTACTGACGTTCGATCCGCGCGGCCTACTATGTTTTTATACGCAAAACTTAAAAGACATCCCTCGTATGAGCATCTTCAAGATACTATTGATACTCCGCGAGCGTACTCAGAATGTGCCCGTTGTCATCGATGTTTCTTTACATCAGAACTGTATACGTTTGTTTATATTGTGCAAAAGCCGTCTGGTAGAACACAGTTGAAGACCTAGATAGCCCCAAATATAGGAAATTTGGGAAGAGGTAAACAAACTCGTGTTTTCGAATTGAACAGCAACTTCAATTCAATGTCATACAGCGATTTCGTACATTTTCAAAAAACAACCCCAATTACCTCTTGAGAGTTTTAAAAGATTTCTGACTTCAATTATTAATATACTGAGTGGCAAAAAAGGTAAATACCTACATATGTTTATTAGAATTCAAGAATTTTTTACATCATATCAATATATCTTGCCATGAACAACAAGTGATAAAATGGTCAGGTTTTTCTGTTAAGTTTTTGTGGTAGCTGCAAGTATTGTTTGGTGATAAAGAAGCATTCAGCTTTCGAACATTTACGGTGTCAGTTAAATGTTAAATTTCGTGTATTGAGTATTGAGAAGCCTTATTGTGATTGCTCAAAATACCTGGAGTGCATGGAATTCGCCGGGTGTTCCAGCTAAGTGACTTTGTGAGGGGAAGTTTCTAGGAGGACCAACAGATCCTTACACAGTATACTGCAGTATGAACGAGCATGGACTCAGGAAGGCCGAGGACAGCGAGCGACGGGTTCTGGATGTCCCAGTGGGACCACAGAGCGACAAGACCGCCGGTTAAGACTTCTGGCTCTGAGAGACAGATTCAGTAGTACTCGAGCCATCGCTAATCAGTGGTTTGAAGAACATGGAAGGATGGTTGGTATGCGTACGGTATATCGCCGAATACGACAGTTTGGCCTTTTTTCTTATCGCCCACATTGGGTGCTACCTCTCACAGCTGAATATCGGCGTAACCGTTTGCTCTGGTGTAGAGGAAGAATTCAATGGGACCGGGAATGGAATCAGGTGGTTTTTAGTGACGAATCCCGCTTCTGCCTGAGGATGCACGATGGTCGAGCAAGAGTGAGAAGGCGACGTGGTGAAAAACGTGACTCAGAATTTGATAGAGAGCGTCACGTTCACCACACCGTGGGAGTTATGGTATGGGGTGCTGTTGCTTATGATTGCAGATCACCACTAATTTTCATCGGAGGTAATATGACAGCCTGACGCTATATTCAGGAAATAGCGGAGCCTCATCTTATTCTATACCTAAACACCATCCAAAATCCGATTTTTCAGCAAGAAAATGCCAGAACGCATGTTGCCAGGGCATCGTTAGCCTTCATGGCTCAACATCAGATCAACCGTTTACCTTGGCCACTACGATCGCCTGACCTATCTCCTATTGAACATGTCTGGGACATGATAGGTCACAGCTCTAGAATTTGCAACAGCCTCCACGGACTTTAGCAGCTCTTACTCACGAAGTTGCAGTAGCCTGGAATGAGATACCCCAACAGGATATCGACCACCTTATCAGCACGATGTCCAGGCGTGTCAATGAGTGTATAAAAAATCGTGGACTCTCAACACATTATTGAACCAGCTTCTGCAGTCAGTTAACGAATCAAGCTGAACATTTAATCATTTTACTAGTAAGGAACACTGATCATATATGCCAAAAATTATTAAAATCGGATAAACATACATAGGTGTTTACCTTTTTTATCACTCAGTATTGTTGATATTGTGGGTACTGCCAATGCTGCACCTGACTATATGAAAATCAGTTTCCAGGGGGAAATGTTGCATAGACTTTCAAAATTTCACAGCGTATCGTTGAATTATCTAAGAAAAAAAGTAAACAGTTTAAAATCAAATAACAACTGTGCCGAAATCACTACTAAAAACGTGCTGAAAAACTGTTTCGAAATTTTGGGATATCCTGTATTAAATTTCATCAATTGTTCACTGAGAAGCAGTTCTTTTCCTGAAAATTTGAAATGCTCTACAATAACACCAGTTCCCAAAATAAAAAATTCTAAAAGATGCAGCGATATGAGACCAGTAAATGTGTTACCAGGCATTGAAAAATTATTAGAGTCCATAGTGCATGACCAATTAATGCAGTTTATAGAAGAAAACAAAATTTTAGCGGAGGCGCAAGCAGGCTTTCGAAAAAAATATTCCACAGAAACAGCTTTCCAGTTGGTAACTGAGAATTGGAGAAGAGCCATAGACTCAGAAGAAGTTGTCATAGCAGTATTTTTGGATTTGAAGAGGGCATTTGAAACGATTGATAGAGATATTTTGTTAGGTAAATTGAAGGCCTACGGTATAACAGGAAGTGTTTTAGATTGGTTTAGAAATTATTTGTCTAAAAGGATGCAAGTTACAAAAGTTAATGACACTATTTCATCAAAAATTGAAAATACGTTGGGTGTTCCACAGGGCAGTATCCTGGGACCACTTCTTTTTATTTTATACATAAATGATTTACCTGCCATAGTCAAAAAATGCAAAATTCAGATTTTCGCCGATGACACTATGATTTATATAAGTACTAAAAATATTCAGTCTGGTGTCTCTTATATAAATGAAGACTTGAAGCTTGTCTCAAAATGGTTAGCATCTAACAGACTAAAATTAAATGCAAGTAAAACGAAAGCCTTGTTAATCGGAAAAAAACAATGTACAAATGTTCAACTGAATATTGATGGTGAAGATATTGAATTCGTAGAAAATTTTAAATACCTGGGGGTTTTTGTTGACTCTCGATTAATTTTTGATATTCATCATGAAAAAGTTATAAATAAGATTAGTAGTAAAGTGGGATATTTATCGAGAGTTTCTGGATGTCTGACTTCATATAGCAGAAAAATTATCTATAATACCATCATTCTTCCAAATTTCTTGTACTGTTCGACTATTCTATATTTAGCAAGTAATTCCATTTTTGAAAGACTGCAAATTTTACAAAATAAGTGCATGAGAATAATACTAAGTAAAGATAAATATACTCCAATTAGGCAAATGCTTAGCAAATTAAAATGGCTCAATGTAAAAATGTTTATCAAATATCTTGTAATGATATTCATTTATAAAGTAAAAAATAATATATTTCCATCAAGTCTAACTAATTTAATATCATCAAATGTCGACCATCATTTACATAATACCAGAAATAAAGATGACTTCCATTTAATGACCAAAAAGTATAACATATGCTACAAATCTGTATTCCATCAAGGGTTGATTGAATATAATAAATTATACTCGGAGATAAAAGACCAGAAAACTTTGACAAAATTTAAAGTAAAATTGAGAAATCACTTGTTAAATCTACAATTATAGGTTGTCCAGCATTTACATCATACACCATATGGCTTGAATTTACTAGTTCTAAGTTGTTTACAATTTTGTTTATGTAGCCAAATGTGCTAAATAAATCTTTCTACTACTACTATTATACTAGTCAAATGGTTAAACTCTTGTATATCTTTATGGAAAACGGATTTGCATCTTTTGATGAAAACTCAAATGAAAATCAAATTTTCCTCTAATTTTGTATGAATGATAACATGAAATTTAAGTTCATTATCATTCATGGTATTTACCTATTTCTAAACAGAAATCATTATAAGATACCCATTGAAAATTTTAACATCTAACCAATTTAAATGATTTAAGATCTTTTATTCTTGTTTGTTTTCCTTTATTTGTCATTATGCACATTAATTTATTTTGTTGTATCTGTAGCCTATCAATATTAAATAATTTGCTGAATGTAAAATCTTAAAACAATAAGTGAGGCTGAATAAAATATACTAAGTTACATATAAATCTGAACACCCAGTTTAAATGGTTTTATTTTAATAAAACTTAGTGAATGTATTTATCTTACTGTAAATAACAAGTGAAAAAATTTTCAGCCTTATCAGTTGGGCATTCCAGTTTTTATACTGCTTTTTTTTTAATTCACTAACGCTCTAAAAATGAATATTTCAGCAGCAGTAAAGAATCAACGTTGGCGGATTTTGGTTCTTGACATCCTTTACGATCGGTTACGATGCCTAGAGTACGGAGACCTGTACGATTTCGTCAACTTAGTGAGTTTGATAGGGGCCGTATAGTGGGACTTCGGGAAGCTGGACTTTCTTTTCGGGCAATTGCAGTTAGAGTGCAAAGAAGTGTAGACACTGTGGTTAGGTGTTGTCAGGCATGGCTTCGAGAAGGCCGTACGCAAAGAGCAAGGGGCACTGGACGCCGCCGTAGAACAACAGACCGTGAAGATCACCGCCTAAGATTATTGGCCTTAAGGGACCGTTTCTCCACTACCAGGTCCATTGCAAATGAATGGTTTGCAGAACACGGAAGACCTATTGGCATGCGAAGTGTTTACCGACGAATGAGAAGTTTTGGCTTGTTTTCATACTGGCCACACTGGGTCCTCCCTTTAACTCGAGAACACCGACGTAATCACCTTGAGTGGTGCAGACAACGGTCACTCTGGGATCAGGAATGGAACAGTATTGTCTTTAGTGACGAGTCTCGATTTTGTTTAGGCATGCACGATGGTCGTGCCAGGGCCAGAAGGCGACGTGGTGAAAGGAGGAATCCACAGTTTTTTGTTGAAAGACATGTTCATCACACTGTTGGAGTTATGGTTTGAGGTGCTATAGCTTATGGTTCCAGGTCACCTTTAATCTTCATCAGAGGTAACATGAACGCGCAGCGTTATATCCACGAAGTTCTAGAACCCCATCTTTTATCCTATCTTGACACCCTGGCAGATCCAACTTTCCAACAAGATAATGCCCGACCACATGTTGCAAGAGTCACAATAGACTTCTTTCAACATAATGATGTCACATTGTTACCATGGTCACCAAGATCTCCCGACTTATCCCCAATTGAGCACGTGTGGGATATGATGGGTAGGAGATTGCTCAATTTGCAACGTCCTCCTCAGACTCTAGAAGCACTTCGAGAGGAGTTGGTGGTTGCCTGGAATGAGATACCACAGGAGGACATTGACCACCTGATCAGAAGCATGCCTAGGTGCGTTGGAGAATGCGTAGCACATCAGGGTGCATCCACACATTATTAAAGGTCAAAGGGCTTTAAAGCAGTGCAATCATTTTGAAATTTTTATCATTTACTTATTATGCTTCATTAAGTACTTATACAAAATTTTATTAAAATAAAACCATTTAAACTGGGTGTTCGGATTTATATGTCACTTAGTATATGTCAACTTTTGGAATACTTAATGCAGCCGTTATTTTCTCAAGGTACACTACCTTGGAACTGATCTTATTAATCAGTTTCTCGGAATGAAGTTTAAATTTTAAATCTCTCTCAACCCCTAAACACTTGAAACTATTCACATTTGGTGATATTTAGATTATATATTTGCGTGTTTGAATGGTCGCAGTATTCCCAAAATTCATTTACTTTTTTAAACATTACTATATCACAAAAAAAATAGTTGTGCAGGTTTGACTAACTTTTGTGAAGTGATTTATGTTAGTGTATTTACGTTAACTCAGAAGTTTTATTCTTTAAATATTCAAAAAATTTGCAACAGCTAGGTGTATGTTTTTCACAGTGGAACTCGGAGGTTACAATGTATTGAGTTGAGATTGAAACTATATTTTGAAATTACATTTTTGGAACATTTGATCTTAATATATTTTTCAATCGTTACTATAGATGCGCAAGACGTTTTTGTTGAAGGTAGGAAACGCAAGACCCCATGCTGCTCAAATTTTTACAAATTGCTTAATAGAATCGCTGCTATGTCAGGGGCATCACGACCACTGAATTTGAATCCTATAGCTTTTTTGGCTGCCTTTGGGAGGAGGTTACAAAGCTAACACAAGTTGAAACTTTTGGTATCCGTGGCGGAACCAATTCAGATTTGGAAAGAACTAAATCAAAATTATCCCTATCCGTAAATTTAACGCGAGAAACTCGTTATTCACGTGATTTTCCAACTTAGGCTGCATTTTATTTACTTTGTTTTGTGATTTTTTATTGCTTTTTGAATGTCTATGAGACAAATATGTGATCAAATTTTGATGGTGAAGATATTGAGTCTGTAGAAAATTTTAAATATCTTGGGCTGTTGTTGACTCTCAATCAAATTTTGATATTCATTATGAGAACATTATAAACAAGATTAGTAGTAAAGTGGGATATTTGTCAAGAGTTTCTGGATGTCCGAGTTCATCTGGTAAAACAATTATAATACAATCATTCTTCCTAATTTCTTGTACTGTCGAATATTCTATGTTTATTTAATGATTCCATTTTTGAAAGACTGTAAATTTCACAAAACAGTGTAAATGAGAATAATACTGCATATAGATAAATATACTCCAATTAGATGCTTAGCAAGTTAAAATGGCTCAATGTTTAAAAAAATTATAAAATATCTTGTAATGATATCCATTTATAAAGTAAAAAATAATATGTCTAACAGTCTAACTAAATTAACATCATCAAATGCTGATTATCATTTATATAGGGTTGTCCAATAGGGACACAGGAAAGTAAACGTCAAATTGACATAGACGCCATCTTTGTTTTCTGTCACCGACATGTCATTTTGTTATAGTGGATACCAAATAAAATCCGATGCACGTCATAGGTGATGTCATTCATAAAAATCATGGTTACCAACAGTTGACTACATTCAATGTGATATTTCTACTTGAAGTTTAAATTTCCCCGTCTCGATTCGGTTGGTAGTGCCGTGCAGAGAAATGTGAGGTTGCCACTTCTCATTTGTTGACATCAGTTGCCATTGTCCTTTTGTCGTACTATTAGTTCTTTATTGTTTAGTTTGTGAGTTTTGCGCTATTTGAGCTTTGAATCGTTGCCTTGCCAATTAAAAGTTGTTCTTTTCAGAACAAAAGTTACTGTGAAGTGGTATAAAGTATCCAAAATGCCAAAACAACTTAACAGTCGGTGTAAAGAGCTCATATCAATTCTGGCAACAGCGCACAGCTCCAGATCGATGACGTGCATCGGGTTTTATTTGGTATCCACTATAGTTGAATGTTTACCATTGATCGCTATGGAGTCGTATTCGATTGACGACCGCATTAAAGTTATTCAAGAGCACTACAAAAATGGTGCAAAAATAAAAAACACGTTTCGCGCGCTTCGTGAACATTTCGGTCGCAACAACCGCCCAAACGAAACAACCATCGGTCGTCTGGTGCGTAAATTCGAGGCAACAGGTTCTGTGGCAAATCTGCCAGGCTCCGGCCGGCCAAGGAGCGTTCGCACACCGGAAAATATTGCTGTTGTGAAGGAGGGTGTGAGAGACGATCCGAAACAATCAACAACGCGTCGATTCCAAGAATTGGGCATTTCGAGAACCAGTTTGCTCCGCATTCTCCATATGGACGATGTTTATTTAAAACAAGACGGTGCAAAATGCCACACAGCCAACGTCAATATCCATCGATTGCAGTCCTTCTTCGGTGATCGCGTGATTTCGCGCAGAGGAAATGTGCCATGGCCACCAAGATCGTGCGATTTGACTCCCTTGGACTTCTTTTTATAGGGACATTTGAAAAGCAAAGTCTACCTCAACAAACCAGCCACCCTCCAAGAACTCAAAAACATCATTGCCGAGATAAATGCCATAGAACCGACCATGTTGCAAAATGTCATTGAAAATTTCGACCATCGCGTGGACGTCTGTAAATCCAGTCGTGGTGATAAATAAATATTTCTACTACTAGATAAAAGAGCAAATCAAAATAAAAAAGGCATTATGGCATCTGCCATTCATTGACGTAACGAGTTCTGTGTTTTGAATTCAAAACTGCCCAAGCGTCCCTAGTACGGGCTACAAATTGAGCATCTCTACATTTTTACGAACTTATGACATTTCTTTATTTATTATGCTTATTGATTTCATTGATTTTCAGGCTCGTGAAGGTGACATAAGAAAAACACCGCTTGGCCGAACACACTCCAACGTTCCACCACCAAAAGATCACCAATCCGCGCATGCTGTTGTTTCCAAGAGCAGGAGTGTTGACAACGTTGGATGTTCTTATCAAATGAGTCAACCTCCCCCACAACCACCCCAATCGCAGGAGAACTTGCACAAAAAATTGCAAAGGTGAAGAGACGAATTAAAAAAAATACATTATCCAACAATCAAGTCGAATAGACTTGCCAATATAATCTTTGTGTATATGTAAGAAGAATGGCAAAACCTATTTTTTTATCGTCACGTAAAAATGCACCTTTACAACTCCCAACTTGATAAAAACTGCGCTCCTGTAAGATTTATGCTGAATTTTGAATCACCATTTATACAGTACGACAACATTTCAGAGTAGATTGTAGACTAAAAATATAATGGGAATATTCAACTCCAAATTACGAGGGATGTCTTTTAAGTTTTGCATATAGAAACATAGTAGGCCGCGCGAATCGAACGTCAGTACTGAATCTTAACTTCACTCTTTAGTAAACTTAAAATCAAAGTTTCACAACAATACGTGCAGTGTTCTCACTACAGTGAATTTTTAAGTGTCACCAAGTCATTAGAAAAATGGAACTCAACCGGGAACAATTTCGCGCCATAATTTATTACAACTTTCAGAGACAATTATCGCAACAAGAATGCCGTGCTGAGTTACTGTCTGTTTTCAGCAACATAGCGCCACATCAGTCGACAATTTCCCGTTGGTATGGTAAATTAAAACGTGGACGGGTGAGTCTTTGCGACGATCCCAGGGTGGGTGCACCAAAAACGGCAGTCACCCAGGAAAACGTCGATGCTGTGCGCAAACTCATCATTGTAGATAGACATGAGACATATCCCGAGATTTAAGCGCCCTTGAAAATCTCAAAGACCTCAATTCAAAAAATTTTACATGAAGAATTAGGAGTAAGAAAATTAGTTTCTCGTTGGATACCCCACCTGTTGACTAAAGAGCAGAAAGCAGCCAGGGTTAATTGGTGTCAAAAAACGCTTGACCGTTTCAATTCCGGAAACTCAAAAAATGTGTACAGCATTGTTAGTGGTGATGAATCGTGGATTTACTGTTACGAACCAGAAAATAAACGACAGTCGGCTGTTTTTGTGTTCCAAGGTGAAGAAAAGCCAACAAAAGTCATCCGTTAATGAGCAAAGAACTGTTACTGTGAATTGGTATACCACCATTTGTTTGCCAAAAGTCATCACCGAGCTTCGAAAAATCAACCCCGAAAGAAGAATCGTCCTCCACCAAGACAATGCAAACCCGCACACAGCCCAAAAAACAAGGCAGTATTTAACGGAAGAAAACGTGGAATGATTGGACCATCCTCCATATAGTCCCGATCTAAGTCCTAACGATTTCTTTACTAAAAAGAATAAAGTCATTTAAAACTACCTACCGTGTTGTTTTATTTTCATATGCAAAACTTAAAAGACATCCCTCGTATAATAGCTACAAGAACATACAATCAGTCGATAATTTTAAATATTTAGGGATATGCGTAGATAACCAACTGATGGAATTTATCTGTTGAACATTTAATACAAAAATTAAGATCGCTTATTCCTAAAATCAAACATTTTCGTAGTTTTTTGAGCGAAAAATATATACACATGATATATCATGTCATGTCATATATCTATCTTATAGAATCTCAGCATTGGGAGGAGTCATGATAATTATTATAAAAAAATTGAAATTACGCAGAATTACATTTTGAAGGTTATGTTTAACAAAACAAAGTGGTATCACACAGAAAATCTTTACAACGAATCTCAGCTTTTCGACTGCCGGCAAATATATTTTTATCATTCAATAATATATTTAACAAAAAAGTCCAAAGTTGTTACATTCTGTTGAACACAACTATCAAACGCGATTCAAAGAAACATCTGCCCTTATCCCCAGACTAAATAAAACTATTTACACTCAAAATTTTATTTCTGCAAACATTAAACATATAAAATGTAAAAACGTTTCACAATTGAATTAATGATATGGCCCTTAAACCAACCAAGGCTAAAAGTTCATAAACTTGTAGACATCAATCAATCAATATGTTATTTGATAAATTGATGCAATTTTCACATTCGTATTTATACAGGGTGATTCACAAGTCGTGACCAAAAACGTAATATCATACACAGTACCGCATTTTAAGGGGGGTCTTAGATGTAATATTTTTTCCTCCAGGGCTTTAATAAAAAGATACGGGGTTTTGAAGTTTAAAAATTAATAATCTTTTTTTAATATTTTCAAAACCGTCAACTGGAATGAAATAAACTTGGATTTACATAAGTATTGTCCACATTCAAAAGTCTTTAAATAAAATTAACGTGCACCAGTGGCGGAGATACAGGGGATTAGTGGCATTGTTTTTCCAAATAAAAATAGTACGTAACTGTCTTTTTTTCGAAACGAGCAATTTTTCGAATTTTACCCTCAATTTGCTTCAAATAATTACTCTTGTGTTTTTATCCTAGTGTGTTTAAAAAATAAAAATAAATTAGATAATCAAAGCTTTATTTCAATAAATGTTCAAAAAGACAACCATTCTGATGGATAAAAGTGCGGCATCTTTTTAATAAAGAAAAACATATTTCTGCAAAATTTGCTGTGGCTTGAATTTGATGAAACGCATTATCTATTCTTTCTTGTAACTGATCAACAGTATTAATTTGTTCAGCATACACTAGTGGTTTGAAAGCGCCCCACAAAAAAATCCAGGTGTTCATATCAGGAGACCTCACAGGCCAATGTACGGGTCCGTTTCTGCCAGTCCATCGTTGTCTAAAATGATTATTTAACCATACGGTCATGTCACGACGAACATGCGGTTATTATTTGTACCAATACTTTATAGTTAGACCAACAAACATTGTTATTATTAATGGTGCCACACATTTAGCCGTATCTAATCCCCATTGATATTTTCTTTCAGGCAACTGACACTGAACCCATCAGCGGATCCCAGATTGGGGCGACGGTACCCGGCGCCTATAGCAAGTGGTGCCACCCAAATGCAACCAATGCCAGCACCAGGGACTTCCCCATATGTCAGTTGGGATGTTCATCAACACGTCACCAGGATAGCTTCGGCCCCCGATTCGTACAGACCTTGGCCTCCGCAGCAACATCCCCAGCACAGGTATGTACGAGGGCTATTCCAAAAATAAATTATACATAGTAGTAGTAGTAGCAACGTTTATTTATAAAAACCTAATTTTTACAACAGCAACAAGCAAAAATTGGTGGCTCACAGCAGCTACAATAAAAGAAAAACAAATTCGACTAAATCTAATTATACAGGGTGTCCGCAAAGTTGGGGTTTTCCTTTTCAGAAACAACTACCCTTGAAATAACAAAGGTAATGTGTAGTGAAACGAGGGCGACCAAGTAAAAAAAAATAAAGGAAAAAGTACTCATTCTCCAGTTGACGAGAAGGGCTAAGTACGTCTCTGCCCGAAATCATACCGCTCCAACAGAAAATGAAATCAGCTGATGCGCTACCGAGCAGACGCAAAAACCACATTGATTGTCTTACACTTAATGTCACGTCTTCTAACAAGGAAGGCAAAATGTTGCGTAAAAAGTCTAGGTATTGCATCCAGTCCAATCGATTTGGGAGAATAAATGGTCCAATGAGCATACCGTTCACAATGCCAGCACAAACGTTCACCCGACGGACAGCGTGCGGATTTTCTACTGACCAAACATGAGTGTTGCGAAAGTTATTCACCCCATTACGCGTGAACGTAGATTCGTCTGTCACCAATATGCACTTCAAAAAGTCCGGATTATTGTCATGTTGATGCAACAACCACTCACAAAACCGCACTCTTGCTGAAAAATCGTCAGGTTGAAGGGCTTGTACACGTTGGACGTGAAACGGATACAGCCCCTCTTCACGCAGCGTTTGCCATACTTTAGTTTTTGATACTTGCACTTCTCTAGCCACGTCTCTAGTGTTTGTTAAGGGATTCTCGTCTACGCGATTACCTCTACAAGCGTGACCGTAACCGTCGGTTGAAGGTTGCATACTGACCTGACACACTGACCCCGACCCAGTTCTGTCGTCGGGTTGAGCCAGTGACCTTGGACCAGTCGGGGATATCGCGGCTACAGGACGGTATTCAGATATTTTTGATGTTGCAGAGCCCTTTATCTCGGTTCCCTTAAGACATTGGTGTATATGGTACTAAGAAAAATTGCTTATGTTTTCAAGATCTACACGTCGTGTAAAGGAAAACCCCAACTTTGCGGACACCCTGTATTAAATTTAACCATTTCCACCTTTCATATGCTCAAGTGCTTTCTTGAAATGAACTGCAGCCTCTGTTTTTTTTATTTGATTTGGTAACTTATTATATTCCCTCAAACCTTTGTACATAATTGTTTTCATTGTGATGAACACTTTATTGGTTTTAATTAATGAATTTCATTGTTTCTTCGCAGGGGTGTAGCTAAACAGTTAGGTCGAGATCCTTTTACAATTTAGAATATAAATGCTATTTTAATTAAGTAAAGATTTAATATGTCATAAAAAATTTCACATTGAGTCATTTTAATTTGCTGAGCATTTGTCTAATTAGAGTATATTTATCATTATTCAGCATTATTCTCATTTACTTGTTTTGTAAACTTTGCAGTTTTTCAAAAGTGGAATTAATATCGAAATATAGAATAGTCGAGCAGTGCAAGAAATTTCTAAGAATGATAGTATAATAAATAATTTTTCTGCTATATGAACTCAGACATCCAGAAACCCTTGAAAAATATCCCACTTTATTACTAATCTTTTTTATAATTCTCTCATTGAAATTTAATTAAGAATCGGCAAAAACCCCAAGGTATTTAAAATTTTCTATGAATGCAATATCTTCACCATCAATATCAAGTTGAAAATTTGTACGCTGTTCTTTTCCAGTTAATAGCTTTCGTTTTGCTTGTATTTAATTTGAGTATGTTAGATGCTAAACATATTGAAACAAGTTTCGTGACTTCATTATATATAATATATATAAGAGATACCAATCTGAATATTTTTAGTACTTATATAAATCAGTGTCATCGGCGAAAATTTGAATTTTGCTTGTTTTGACTATGGCAGGTAAATTGTTTATGTACAAAATATAAAGAAGTGGCCTCCGCATACTGCCCTGTGGAACACGTAATATATTTTCAATTGTTGATGTGTTATTAACTGTTGTAACTTGCATGCTTTTAGACAAATAATTTTTAAACGTAAAACACTTTGTCCCCAGGGTGTCGAGGTTGTGTAAACATCTTTACCAGAGGAGGCAGTTCAAATATCAGATTAACAAAGTGCCTTTAAGCTCTTTATAGCAGCAGCGATGCCCCGATATTCAGACTTTTGTCTACGCGCCTGCATCGGTATAAAAAAGAACGAACCTATCAACTGTTTTATTTTTGTTTCAGGCATATGCAGAGGATATCTAGTTGTTCGGACACCCAGCTAAACATCTGGCCACCTCCAGCGTGGTCACAAAGTGGTTCGATTCCTCAGCTGAACCCCACGATACAAGAAGACGCTCGCCGCAAGCTGCACTACCATCTGGCGGCCATCTTTCCTGAAGAGCAAGTCACACAAGCCATGCAGATGTACCCTGATGAGACGAATCCGCAAAAGATATGCGCTGCCATATTGTCCATGTTTCCCAAGACGTAATTTGAGATTTCAGTTGGATTGGTTTTTCATTTTAGAGTTGTCTTTGTCACGAATTTATGAAAGCGTTCTGATTGTGGCGCCAAATCCTGTTATCAGAGCTCGGAGCACTTTTATAAATGATCTAGAAAAATAATTGTTAAGGCTCGCCAGTACCTAGCGTGAGCTTGAGAATTGTAGCGAGATGTGCATTTCTGAGTCAGTCAAGAGGCGTGGCTTCATCACTTTCCCTGGGGGGAAATGTGAAGTACCAAACAACGCAACTGACAAATGAAAAAATAATACAGTTATTTCATTGTTGAATAACCACGGACTATCACAATCACACTAAATTTTTAGGCAAATCGACTGCAAGTAATTTTCTTTATCGTTTGTGCAGGGTTCTTTAATCTAGAATAAAACTACAAGTTAACACCAAACAGTAGCAAACGGAACTAATGTATTCATATAATAAACTAAAATACCCCTTGAATAATCCCTAGAACTAGGGACATATCTCCAGACCTTGTCAGTCTAGAGCGCAAAGAGAACCATAAACGCGTGCTAAAATATGCTCCGCGCTCATCGACTACACGTTACCATGGTAACATGGTGTTTTATTTAAATACTGATTACTGACCCTTTTTTGGGGGAATAGGTGAAACATTATGAAAATAAAAGGTAAATACGAAATACCTTGAGTATATTAGCCTTTTTTATTTTTTTCACACAACTTTTTATAATATAACCTGTTATTAGTATGTTACTATTGTTTGGCTGTTTTTGAAGTGTTTATTGCGAGTATGGAATGTTTAAGTACATACATTATGACAATTATCGACATTTTTTTTAAAAGCACACTGCAAATCACGAGCTTAGGATCGATGTATTTACGCTTCTATGTTCTTGATCTTAACCTAAGATTATTAGAAAACATAGATGTGCAGAGATCACCATCATTGGTTAGAGGCACAGCCTCCCACTTTTCGTTATCACAATTTTTTTTTATAAAAATACCATAGAGCACAACCAACACCTTATACCTCTTAAAAACAAGTGGATTACAAGCAAAATGCAATGGGGGTGGTTTGGCCTAGGGCCGAATAGGTCTACCACAATGCTGCCACGTTTCGAGAAAAACGTCGCAATTTTTCAGGCACCAAAATACTGAAAATAGTATTTATCCACTAACGGTCATTTTGACATTTGCTCTCCAAGAATGTTGCTTCTGACTAATGATTGTGATCGAAAGCTTTAGATAAAGTGGTACGTTTTTTTTTGTAACCCGCGTACCACTATCAAGGAGCTTGGTTTTTAAAGTAACCAGATGTGAGTTAGATATAGACAAGGAAAAACTTCATATTGAAGGACATATAAACCTGCTTTTGAGATTGTGGTTTTCGCTGTAACTACTCATTTTTAATATTAATAAGTTGATACTATGTATCTCTAGTAAAATTGTTGCAATTTTTGAATTATAGTATAGTACGTTGGAAATTTTAGATGTATATTCAGGAAAATAAATAATAGGATATAGTATAAAACGATTGGAACTACTTGTCTCTGTTCTCCGTTTTTGTTTTATTTTGATGAATATACATATAATATTTGTTACTAGCCCTGTATCAATTTAGATAAATATATTACAATGGTTAAATTAACATGAATTTTGTATCAAGCGATTTTTTAACTCAAAGAAGATGCTACAAATCATGATTCTATCAACATTTCTAGGCTCCGAGGGAAGTTAAGTTTAAACAGTGTAAGGCCCACATTCATAGTCGACCATTTGAGGGCGGAGTTCCGATTGAGGGTTGATGAATCCTCGGATTTTGAGCGAATAGTAGCTCACCTTCAAGTGAAGATTCAATATTTGCACTTTACAGACTCTTACATAACAGGTTTCCAAGATCCTCAAAATTTTCTCAATTAAAATTCTTAAAAACATCGAGGATTATCAAAATGTATTTTTTTAAATTTTCAAATTTCAATATTTTTTAAAATTATCAAGACTTTAAATATTCTCAAAACTATCAGGGTTAACATTTTTAAAATGTTCATAATTTTCAAAATTTTCAGTCAAAATCTTCGATTTTAAATATTTTCAAAATTTTCACCATTTAAATTTTCAATTTTCGATATTTTCAAAATTTCTACGATTTTTAAATTATATATTCTGAATTTCCAAATTTCTCGAAACCATCAGGAATATCAAAATTTGTGCTCATAGTTTTTGATTTTCAATTTTCAAACTCATCTGTTTTCGATATTTTCAAAATCTTCAGTGTTAAGAATTTTCAGGACAATCAAAATGTTTTCAAAATTTTGGGATCTTGAAAATTTTAATTTAACTTCAGTTTTTAATATTTACAAAATTCTGAAAATACATACCTATGTAAAATTTTCTTAATTCTTAAAATTCTCAATACAAAATTTTCAGAATGCTTATTCATAATTTTCAATCTTCAAAATCTTTAAATTTCGATGTTATAAAAATTTTCAGAATTTTTTTACGATTTTCAAAATTTTCCAAATATTCAAAATATCTGACATTTTCAAATTTTTCGGGATCTTAAAAATAATAGTTTTTAAAATGTACACGGTTTTTGAAATATGCAATATTCTCAAAATATGCAACATTTTCTTAATTATCTAAACTCTCAAAACTATCAGAATTATCAAAATGTTCATAATAATCAGTTTTCGAAATTTTTACGATTTCAAAAATTTTCAAAATTTTCAAATTTCTCCAAATCTGCAAACAGTTTTAAATGTTTTCACAGTTTTCAAAATTAATTGTCAAAATATCCAATGTATTCAAATTTTTCAGGATTTTAAAAATGTATTTATAATGTAATTTAATTAAAATTCGAAACAATCTAAATACCCCTGACGAGAACTGTTACAAGCCTACTGTGAAATACTAATGTTGAATCTCCACTTGATGATCACTCAAGGACTCAAGGGTGCATTATAATACCTTCAACATCAACCATCAATCAACATTTAGCCCTCAACAGTCAACTATAAATGAGGGCATAAATCAGTTATTTTATCAATGATCAAATGAGGTACTCAACTTTGCTCAGCCCCTGAGCTATTCTGTGAGTTTTATCTACTAACCAAAATGAGAAAGCTTATAATTCTGATAAAGTCTACAAAAAGTAAAAATAAAGGGTTGCTTATTATCATTACTCTCTATTTCTTCTATTGGTCAGTTAGTATGAACACAATCTTGAGGACTTCTGCTCTATTAGAGTTTTAAGCTTTTGCGTCAAATATGTTAAACACAACAAAAATTTAATCGCAAATTTACAAAAAATAAAAATGGAAAGATGGTGCATCCAGAATCATTATTACATTTCAAATGCACTTTTTTGCAAATCTGTGACGTTAAGTGAAAAATACCATTTACAGATAACTTTTTACGTTTTAGCATTGATTAATGCGTTCTAACTAAAGATAGCCAAAATAATGCTATATTCGCGCGTCCAAAAAAATATCCGAGATCAAATGAGATACCGTAGGGTCTATTTTGAAAAGGTTAGTGTCTCGTAGATGGCGCAGTAGCTATATACTCATTAGATGGCTACAGACACTTTTCAAACTAAATTGCTTATTATTGTGAGGAGGAGAAATATACTTGTGACAAATCGCCATAGAGGACGCTACGATAGCTTTTTTTATTTTGGATAATTTTTTGGACTCGCGAATATAGAATTAAGTTGGCCATCTTCTAGTAGAGTGCGTTATTCAATTGTTTAAGCCAATTCCTCTTCACAATCTAGTAACACTTGTGAGTAAACATAGACTTTTATAATTAATGTTGAAATTATATTCTACATGCACATTCAATGTTCAACAATATTCTGCATATTGCATCCTGAATCTACTAAATACTCATTCAGTGTAAAAGTGTAAATAGTATTTAGTGTATCTGTAATTTATTTTTTGGTGTTTGACATCTCCTTTTTTAATGTCTACATTTACAAATTAGATTATATAGCGAATTTTTTATTGTAATGGCTGTTTTGAATATGTTGTTAACATTTTAAATACTTATTTATTTTTATTTTATAAATATATGATATTCGGTAAAGCTGTGTTTTATTATACAGGTTGTCCGCAAAGTTGGGGTTTTCATTTTCAGACAGAACTACGCTTGATATAACAAAGCCAATATGTGGTGAAACGTGAGCGAACAAATAAAAATCAATAAATGAAAAAGTACTGAAAAGAATTTCCAAGTACGGCTCTGTCGTAAAATCCGAATTTTACATACTATACTACAACTATTTAAAACTGTAATGACTCATACGCGTGATCAACACGTGATCAGAGCTCGATCCCGGCTTCCTTCCAGTACAGCCGTATAGCGTACGACATATGTCGTTTCTGTGGCTTTGCGGTGGTCAACAGCACAGACAGAGATGGAAATAATGGCCGATTGTTCTCCGCCGGTAGAACCAATGAAATCAAAGACGCGCCTCGACCGGCAGACTCATTGGAACGTGTTTCGTTGAGCGATCGCATATTGTGTGATTTTATAAGAATTGTTGTGTGATTGTTATTGTTGTGGTTACTGTTTTGGTTATACTTAACCATGGAGAGTACAAATGGCACGAGTGGAAGTACTGAAAGCCAGGGAACAAGTAGACGGCTTCGTAAAGCACTGAAGAGGGCCGCGAAAGAAATCGTGCTCAACGTGTTCAATTATCTGAACAGAACTGTGTCGCAGGGAGATGCACTCGCGCGTTGTGAAAGTATGACAGGCGTTCCAGAGTGGACCATTCGCAGGGTGGTGCATGAAAAGAAGAAAACTGGAGCTACTACTGATCCAAAGTTTAATTTGAAGGGACGAAAGGCCGTTAAATTGGATGACGATAGCAAAATGGCGTTAAGACGAACTGTACATTCATTCTTCTTTAGGAATGAGATACCAACCCTCAAGGCTGTACATGCAGCGATCAAGGAAAATGAAATTATAATGAGCGTCGAGGTAATGATGAAATCCCTGCACGAAATTAATTTTCGTTACGAAACGCGTAATCGGAAGTCAGTATTGATAGAGAGACCTGAAATAGTCGCCTGGCGTCGAAAATACCTACGCGAAATGATTGAATATAGGCGTCAAAGCAGAAAAATCTATTATTTGGACGAGACATGGGTAAATGCAGGTCACACAGTTAAAAAAACCTGGATAGACAAAAACGTAGTGAGTAACCGACAAGCAAGCATTGAAGGTTTGTCAACAGGTCTCCGTGGACCGTCAGGGAAAGGTCAAAGATTGATCGTAACTCATATTGGTGGCTTTTTAGAAGAGTGTGATTTGATTTTCGTCTCTAAGAAAGGAGGTGATTACCATGACGAAATGAATGCCAGCTGCTTCGAGAGCTGGTTTCAAGGGGTGCTTCAGCGAGTTGTGCCCAAATCTGTGATCGTCATGGATAATGCTTCCTACCATAGTCGTCGAGCCGAACGTGTACCGACTATGGGATCTCGAAAAAGTGACATGCAGCAATGGTTGCGCGAAAAAGGAATCCCGTTTGACGATTCATGTGTGAAAGCGGAATTGTATGAAAAAATTAAACAGCACAAACCTGCGAACATTAGTTACGTGACTGATGAGATGGCCCGTCAATGTGGTGTCACTGTGCTGCGGTTACCGCCCTACCACTGTGAACTGAACCCAATAGAGCTCGTCTGGGCTCAAGTGAAGGGTTATATTGCGCGCCATAACACAACCTTCAAATTACCAGACGTGAAGGTTTTACTTGAGACTTCCATACAGCTAGTAACGCCCGAAGCTTGGCAGAATGCTATCCGTCATGTTGTGAAGGAAGAAACAAAAATGTGGCAGCTTGACCACCACATCGACACCATCATAGAGCCAGTTATAGTCAATTTCAACGAGGAAAGCGATAGCGACAGTTTATTACTGTCAGATGTAAGTGGAAGCGACGATGAATAAAGGTAATTCCCAAATTTTTGACTTAAATATGTTTCAAACCACTCTTTATTAGGCATGTGACAAATCTAGTTCACCCATGTTAAACATTCATACCCCGCCTATGAACAGCCGACTACTGGTAGTTAAGTGATGATCACGTGAACATCGATGAGTCATTACAGTTTTAGATAGTTATAGTATAGATACTAGTTTCTACGTCTTATAATTGTACGCTGGCGCTGTGGACGTGATCGAGGGACAGGATAGGACCGGCTTCGGTTTGGTTCAGGTTTAATTGAGTTTACGGAGCCCAATATCTCGGTTCTCTTAAGACATTAGTGTATATGCTACTTAGAAAATCTGCTTATTTTCTCAAGATCTACACGTCATGCAAAGGAAAACAACTTTGCGGATGCACTGTATACTACTTACTGACTATGCTACAAAAAGTGACTTCAGGGATAAATACAAATTCAATTTGTGGTCTAGCATGCAGAATCTAAAAACATTACCACTATCATCGTCTAATATTGTTGAAGTGTTAGATTATGTACACAGAATAATAAATTGAATACAGAAATAAAATAACAGAATACTTTGACAAAATTCAAAGGAGGATTGAGGAACTGCATGTGCATCATATGGCTTGAATTTACTCATTCTGCTGTTTATAATAATTCTGTTCATGTAGCCAAACGTGCTGAATAAATCTTTCTACTAGTATTTCTACAAATCTAAATAAATTGTGCAACCGCAGTATGTAGAAATAAACACCAATGCGTCTAAGGAATCTTTACTCGCGTCTAGCCTACCATATACCGCATTCCGGCGTCCAAAAATAGATCCATGCGCCATCTATGGGCCAGTAACAGGACACAAAAATTAGATATCTTCAGCTGGATTAAGTTAATCAATGCTAAGTCTATGGCTAAAATTGTCTAAGTTTCCGACTATAGTATTTTTCGCAAACCCCTCGTTGGTAGCGGTTGCCTTGTCCTCATTTCTATGCAAGCCTGGTTGCCTAGCTGTCTTCTTAGTGGAATTAGGGCTCTTAAGTTAGGCAACACTGATTTGTCAAGTGAACGAACTGTCAACCGAGTAGGTACTTTTACATTTTTGGGTGTGACAACAGTGGGTTTTGTGAGCTTTCATGGGTGTTGCGCTCGCCATTTTCTACGACAATTATTAAATTTAAATCAATTTATCAAAATTAATCGTGATATGAGGCTTAACTAACACGGTGTCGCGAAAATATGAACCTGCTGCACTTGACAAGGGTAAGTGGAAAGTCTCTCATATCGATGACATTTAAAAAGTTTGTTGGCCTTTTGACATTTTAGCTGTAAAAATTATATTTGCCATGGATTTCCAATAAGATTATAATCACGGTATACCAAGCTAGAGGATTGTCTACAGATTTCAATTAATGGTAATAAGCCTCTGTACATAGCCTCGCAGATTTATTGACCACCTAACGGGCGAGTCGGTGAATGTACCGCTGTTTAGAAAAAGGATAGTTTACTTTTATAAAAAGACGAATTTGGCCAAGATATCGATGATTTTAAAAGGATTAGATCTTGGTCTACTCGAACAACCTACCCACCGCCTTTCACATACAACATTCTTCAGAATACCTACGTAAATATGGATCAAGGTAGGCTTTGATCAAAGATATACCCTGGGGATCTACTTATATCAGTGTACAGGAAATGTGCGACACGTTTGTCGTTTGTTTTTATCAACGAAATCGGGCACCACAGTATTTAAACCTCCCCCAGTCCCCAAAATGACTCATTTCCTCCTTGTCTGACTGGAAGGTGACTGCATTTGAGTTATTGTATACAATATTGCCAGCCATATGTTTACTCGTTTACTGCCTTAGTCATATTTGTTTATTTGTACGGCGAGTTTTTCTTTGGTCTGCTTCCAGATCTTAATATGCTACCCAAGTAGAGCCTTTATTGAATGGAATTCAAATTGGTTTGAAGTGTTGAAGCTTCTGTTTTTTATGAAGATGCTTTAATGCTCAGAATTTGAATTGTACTACTGCTGTACATATATTATAGTCTTACACTTCAGGCAGAGAAGCCAATAGAACAATTCTAGTATATTTTTGGTAAGGTTTAATTTAACCTATTATGTTTCTGAAAAGTGTCGAAATATGTTATTTAATGATTGAAATACAATTCTATGATTGTTTCACTTTGATCCAATTCTGAGACCATCCATAACAAAATGTTATCAACATTTGAAAAGTATGTTTTTCCATTTCATAGCGGGCCAAGATTGAATATGTATAAAAAATGTATACTGCTCCAAAAAGATTTTTGTGACATGCCCAAAAATGATCAAAAACTTGAAAAACATTCAATGAGTCGAGGAAAGTTATGAAATTTTTTCATTTTATGCTTATAACTTTGTCACCAATGTCTTCCCCCTCTACAACCCCCTACTCCCATTTATTCACCCCCAATTTTTTTTCAAAAATGATCAGCGATTTTTATTCTAGTTTTTGGCATTTTTCTTCACCGCCACTGGACCGATTTTCAAAAACTACAAAGCTTTTTCATTCTTGGCATGGTATTACATTATCATTTCATCAATAATTCATCAAAATCTTAGCAGTACTTTCCAAATTTTACAGGGGCCAAGCATTATAGGACAAACAGATATAATGTTAGAAACAAATTTCATGTTACATCCAAAAAACAAAGCTCAAATTTAAAATGTCCGACGATTTTACTTCCTAACCAATTGGAATGGGAAGTTATACAGCTGAAATATGATTTATGAGGTTAAATTAATGCTTATGGACATTATTCTTTATTGTAATAGGCTTTGGTATGTCAATTGATAGTTTTATTGACCACCTAGCTGATTCAAATATTTCAAGTATTTAATCTACTACTATTTTTATTAAAGAGTATAAGATTTAATATTCAAAAGATAACACACCTAACTTGATTGTTTTTTGCAGTATGTATGAAAAGTTAAAGGTATGACACCTTACAAATGCCTAGAAATTATACACTCTACTTATTATGGAATGCATAGCTATTTCTCTTTACTGTAAAAGTATGTCTCTACTACAATAATTATTTTTATAAAATTCTGAAACCTTTGACCTCCATGCTTATTTTACTATTTACCTATATATGCATTATGACATGTTTATTTAAAGATGCTTATGTTCTTAAATGATATTGCTAACCATCTGATGTAACTGTTTGTAAGTTGATTTTAAGATGTGAATTTAAATCCATTACCAAATGTGTGTCATTACTATTATAAATGATTAACAAGCAGTGTGTTTTCCTCCTTGCATGTAAGATATGTGAAAGGCAACAAAGATAGATTTTCTTTCTTTGATTATAATCGTGATAATTTCAGCATTTATTCTTGAATGTATGAAAGGTACTAATTGTAAGAGAAAACTTGCATTTGATACAGTGTTTTCGAGTACATATTTATTTTGCACCATGCTGGTCAGTAAAATTTACTTATCCTAAGAGGTCTAGTCAAGTAGATTTACTAAGATTCAGAATGTTTGGGTAATTTTTAGTTCCTATGCTAAAACTGACAAGGAAGTATTGTAAAATGTCGAAATTAAGATATTGTTTTTTGGATGTCATTTGATATGTACATCATGAAAAATCATGTGACTCATTTTCTTTGGTCTGCCTGTATGTCAGTCTGTCCACTAATTTTATAACCACCTATAATTTGAGAAGTACTGCTCGGAATTTTCACACAATGTTACTACTCTGCCAAGGATGAAAAAGCTTTGTAGTTTTTTGAAAATTGGTCTAGTTGTGGCGAAGCTGCGGGAAAAACACGAAAAAAAATAGCTGAAACGTTTTAGAGGCTCCTGATCATTTCCAGAATTTTCTTTGTAGGGGTTGGACTTGCTTAAAGCCCGTGAAAAATAGCGTCAAATACAGTGACCTGGTCCTTCACGCACATTTCCAAGGTATTACAGAAAAAATAAGAATTCCTCTAATTGACGTGATATTGCAACAGTGAGTTTGCAAATAACAGGCAAAAATACCAAAATATTATCGCCAACCAGATCATCAAAAGTCTCAAGAAGTTTCTTAGTCAATCTTCTTGACGCCCTTCTAAGCTCATATGAACGTTGCGTGAATGAAAGTACCGGCACTAGTAATATAATTAATGGATAACCTGAAGCAAGACCACAACAACAGGAAGTAGAGAACAGGAAATCTGACAAACCAGTTTAAATATTACAGTTGTTGTGTCGTCGCCAGGGTTATTTTTCTTCAAATCCTGGCATGCTCACACAAAATGAATATTTTCTCCTCGATTATAGATGTTCGTTGTTTTAACTGAAAGTAAAAATGATTTGACATACGAGGTTTGTAAACTAAGTAATGAGACTGATTTTTTTCATCAAATATAATTAGAATTTTATATTATCACCCTCAAAATAACTTCCTTGTGAAGCCACACAGCGCTGGAGACGGTTCTTCCATTCCGCATAGCAGTGCTGGAACTCCGATACTGGAATAGCCTTCAGCTGGTCGGTTTTTTTTTCTTGATCTGATAAACGGTAGTGTGAGTCAAAATAACTCTTCATCGATCTTTCTGACTGTCGACTGACGATCTGAAAGCACAAATGCCTTAAACTACCGAAAAACCTGGGCTCTTGACAAAAACTTTAGCAAGTTTTCCAAGCCTGCAACAAAACCTGATAGCAAATAGGTAGTTCCTCGAAATTGATATCACTCATTTTTAGAACACAATATACAAAACTGTTTCACAAAAAAATCGCTACAGACAACCAAATGACTCGAGCGAGTTCAAATTTGTACTGAAGGCGGATCACATGTTTCCCTGTCTCCCCTCCAGTGTTGCCAGATTGAATGCTACGTTGCCAGTCTCATCATTTAATTCACAGGCCTCGTAACAATACGGCGCAAAAATTTTAACACTACATATTAATAAGAACGTTTTTTAGAAACCATCTCCAGAACACATTTTGTTTTTCTCGAAACCTATGCGAGATGGCCTATTTCTATACGTATATCCTCCTGAGACCCAGACATGTTTTTCATAAGTTAGAGTTGTGACGTTTTTAAATATAACAGAAAATACATTAACAAACATTCTTTACTGAGGACATTTTTTATTTTTTTTTCTTATTTTGAAAGATACATGACGTCCATTAAAATGGACATTGGGTCTTAACCTATACAAAAATGCCTAATGTATAAGTTATTTAGATGGTTAAAAATACATTTAAAATTAAAACTTAAACTTATAAGATCATAGAAAATAAACGTAAACTTAAATTTATCTGTTATGGAACTCTATAAAGCAGTTTCTGTAGCCAGTTATGCATAAGAATGTGTTACATCTATTACAAAAAAACTTCGTTTTTTTAGTACAACTGTCATTGGGTAATGTTCTTTCCGCTTTCTTTCGGTGCCTGCTGATGGTGAATCAACAATGATATTACCCTCAGGATTTCTTCGAGTTCCTATACCTCGTATATTTTCTTGGAAAATGTTGGATTCATCTTTCAAAAGGTACGTGGCAATTTCGATTTTAAAATCTAGATACTGCTGTATTTTTCGTGTAGAGGTTTGAAATATCTTTTTATCTCTTCGATAAAAAATCCATGAGTTTGCCAATGCTAAATCAAAGAAATGGAAAATGACTCTCACAGTCCATTTTTTTGATCTGGCTTGAATTCTGTAATAGCTGATCATTCGGTCTATCAGGTCAATTCCTCCCATACAATCGTTGTATTTAGCAACAATGTAAGGTCTTGCAACTTGTATGTATTTAGAGTCTTTCTTAGACCACCGTTTACACTCATCACTAGGTTGAATTCCTAGACGAGTAGATGCCAAAAGTACAGATTTCAGGTCATACCACTGTACAACCACTATTTCGCCATCTTGCCTTACAATTTGTTCCGAGCTACCTCTACCTATCTTGTCCATCATTTTGTCTGAAGTTAAATGTGCTGCCGCTGGTACACGAGATTTCATAATCGTTCCAGTACAATATTTCTTTTGTTGGCGAAGATATTCAAGAAGTGGTATTGTCGTAAAATATCTATCGCAATACACATGAGTTCCAGGAAATAATGTTCTTCCAAGCCGAACAACAGCAGAAGGTCCAACACCAAGTCGTTTTACAGAATCATCTGGAAACGTATTTTTTCCTTGATATAGTTCAAAGTCTACGACAAGACCATCAGGAGCAGCAGCAACAAAATTTTTCAATCCCTCTGGATTGGGTTTTCCCC